CAACAATTGATCCACCGGGTTTGACGGTATGGGTCCGGCACACTGGTCGTGAAGTAGTTAAAATGGCCAACTCCCGTCCCTGACAGGGGTTCTAGATCGGGATTTCGTAGTGAGATCATATTCCTTCATAAACGTCAAAATGAAGATCTTCCAGGCTGGCCCTCTCGCCATTGCTCTTTCTGTCTTTACAGGACTTGCTTCCGCTTCTGTCTTCCAGAACCACACCTATGACTACATTGTCGTCGGTGGTGGTCCTTCCGGTATCATCAGCGCTGAGAAGTTCGCCAAGGCAGGAAAGAAAGTTCTACTTCTTGAGCGAGGTGTCGGACCAACTGTCGCCACTGGTAACAATGAGACCCTCACATGGGATCACTCATTGACTCCTATCGATCTTCCGGGCCTGTCCGCCAACATCGGCGCCCTCGATGTCTGGAACCAGTATATGTGCACCGACACTGCTGGCAATGCTGCCTGTGTACTCGGCGGTGGTGTAACTGTCAACTATATGGTCTTCGTCCACCCTCCTGCCCGTGACTTCGACGACAAATGGCCCAAGGGTTGGAAGTGGAAGGATGTTGAGTCAGCTGCAGACCGACTCTATAAGCGCAACCCCGGAACTACCCTGCCTTCTGCCGATGGCAAGCGATATGACCAAGGTCTTTACGCTGTGCTGTCCAAGTTCTTCGGTGGCCTTGGTTGGAAGTCGGTGGATATGATCGAGCAGCCGGATGAGAAGCACCAGATCTACAGCTACCCGTCCTGGAACGTGAAGGACCAGATGCGTGCTGGCCCCGTTCGTACCTATCTCCCCGATGCTGTCAAGCTGGACAACTTCCACCTTGCTCTCCGTACCAAGGTGATTCGCTTGGTCCGTTCTGGCGGTCATGTCACTGGCGTCGAGATTGAGACTGCTTCGGGCCGCTCCGAGGTCATCAGCGTTGCTCCTCACGGTCGTGTGGTGCTGGCTGCCGGTGCTCTGTCTACTCCTCGTCTGTTGTGGAACTCCGGTATTGGTGGCAAGACCCAGATTGAGACTGCGAAGAAGAGCGGTGTTGCCGTTCCTCCCAAGGCTGAGTGGATTGACCTGCCTGTCGGTGTCGGTCTCATGGACCACCCCATTTTCCCGATCACCTTCAACACCAACGCCTCATTCGGTCTGGTTGACTACGAGGGGGTTCTTAACGGATCCGACTCTCGCGATATCTCCCTCTACCGCAAGGACAGCGGTGTCCTGACCCAGGGCAAGCACCGCATGATTTTCTTCACCTCGGAGGAGATTGATGGCCACACTCAGTACTACCAGGGTTCGTGCGCACCTACTGATGAGGGCGTGGTAACCATCACCTCGTACATGACCCATGGACTCACCTCGACTGGTGTCCTGGGACTTGATGCCAGCGGAAATACTGTCATTGAGAAGTCGCCTTACCTCCAGACCGCTGCTGACCGCAAGGCCGCCCGCACTTTCATTCAGAAGATGGTCAAGGACATCACGGCACCCTCCACTGGGTTCCAGCTGCAGACTAACACCAATGTCTCGGCCATCATTAAGGCCCAGACTCCTGGTACACACTACACCAGCACTGCGAAGATGGGTACCGATGATGGCCGCAAGAAGGGCAGTTCCGTTGTCGATACCAACACTAAGGTTTATGGAGTGGATAACTTGGTAAGTGGCTCGGAATAATTTGTTTGCTCAAAAATGATGCTAATCCCTTTTTTCTTAGTTCATTGTTGATGCCAGTATCCATCCCGACCTCCCGACCGGTAACATTCAAGCTGCCGTCATGGTAGTTGCTGAAGCCGCTGCCGCTAAGATCTTGTCCTGCTAGGCTAGTCATTGTCGGGAAATAGCCATTGTCGGGGAAATAGCCCTGGAGGCGATCAGCGACGGTTAAGAACCCACAAGGTCGTGAAGGCCTACAATCCCACCATATATTGTACTATATATATTAGAATAGGATGTAAAAATTCATCTCTAAATTCAAGATTTACATAGCCATGAAGAGAATGGCAACATTTACTAAAATTGATACTGTACATTAGGTATACTCCTGAGGTTCGTACCCCTGAGTTCCCCGGGTCCATCGTAAAGTTTAAATTCTCAAACTCAACGGCTTTTTGACTTTCTCCTTTTTCTGTTTCTTTTTCTTTTTCTCCTTTTTCTCCATTGAATTGATGCCCGTAAAAGTTCCATAAAATCCTCTTTTCGGATATACCTTAATGTTAATTCTTGGAGACATAATACATAATACTCGAAAAGGGGGTTTTGCAGAATTAAGAAATGATCCTATATCTAAAAGAGGAATCCCAAAAGAATACCCCCACCAGGTAGCCGTAGCCTGGCGGCGACGCCTGCGCAGGGGAAGGAGCATCAGCTCCCCCTCGCGGCAGAATCACAAAATGGTCGTCGGTCGACCCTCATCTTTAACAGAAGTGGAGACACTCAACCTTGATACCATTGTGGTGACTTTCCCACTTATCCAACATGCGGATGACAATGAATATCATCTTTGAATCTTTGGCCCCTCACCTAATCATGGGTGTTTTTTTCTTTTCTTAAAAAAAAGAGGATTCAAAGCTAAGACTTATCGTAGGGTATTTCCAGGCCATTCCTTTCTTTTCGACATTATTTTATCGAAAGAATTTCAAAGGCAAACAGCTGCGCACGTTGTACCCCTGTTACCCCTATCAATCGCCTGGGGATATCTGAACCGGTGATATCATTACCAATGCTTAATCCTGCAATTTGCCGACAAACAAATAACTCACCGCAACGAACAGACTAACGGGCATCAAGCCCACTGGACTATTTGACCTTTAAACCCACTGTGGGGGACTAAGATTACAATCAGCATTAATATTGCCCACGTGGAGTTTAACCTTCTTTATACAATTTGTTTTGGCAGACAGACTGCTGATCTTAAGGGACCTTAGCACAGGAGACTAATCATTGGCCATTTCGATCAGCAAGGTTGGCAGTCGTGTCGATCCCCAGTTGACTTCTAAGGTTTGCTTCCTACGACACTAGTATCAATAACAAGTGCCGGTGAATTCAAGCACAGGGCCCTCATTGCCATGGCGGTATGGAGTCCGGAATACTTTGAAGGCCAAATAGAATATCTGGCAAGGTGGGCCCTATAATTGAGATGCTTCTTTGTGCCTCGATTAGGGGGATTTCCCGACTCAGAAACGAGCTGGATTTGACCGACAAAAATGCCGATGTCATCGATGTCTTGGCCTCATCCTGACAGTTCGAGTGGGAACTACCCCCCGGCTTTGTTTTAGACTCGAGTGGATGATCTGCAAAGTGGCTAATGAAGATGGGCCTCGTATGAAGCTTATAGCGGAACTAAAACTGTGTGCCGGACCCAATTTTATGTGGCGGCGGTTTTGTTGACCACTCAGCGTGAAGCTTACATTTTGGTAGATGAAACAGGAACGCTATTGCTCCATTCTCCCATCGGACTCATTTGCGAGACGAGCTGCCCCTCTGTCAAGGCATCTGCTAGCTCAGGAGTACACCAAACGACGTCAACAGACGAGGGATCGGACTCGTATCAACGCTGATCCCCTACCAACAGTTATCGTATATAACCCGAGACGTCTTGCCGTGATGTTTGAACTCTAAGAACTTTCTTCTTGTCATTCCTTACCAAGTCATTCCTTAATCTCGGTTTATACCGTCCCTTCATTTGTACCAAACGAGTCTTTGAACTTATTCCACTCATTAAACAACAAGATGAAGTCTTTCGCCTTCTCCGCCGCCCTTCTGGCTTCAACTGCTATGGCATTGCCCGCCAACATCATCCCTTCGGGCACCACCGGCTCTTTGCCTTCCGGAATTCCCTCTTGCCTGCCCTCCGGCGTCATCCCCTCGGGTATCCCTCTGCCCGTGGTATCTCTGATCCCTACCTGCTCTGGTGCCGCCGCATCTTCAATCTCCGCCTTGCCCATCCCGACCGGCGCCCCCTCCGGCATGACCGAGGGCGCCGGCGCCGGTCAGGTTCTTTCCGTCCTCAACCAGGCCGGAACCTCGAACTTCAAGATGATGGCCGAGTCCGAGCTCCAGAGCCTTATGAGCAAGCTGCCCCTCAGCACTCTCGAGAAGCCCGTCGGCCAGGTCGTCCAGACCGCTGAGTCCGTCGACCAGCTTGACACCAGCAGCGGCTCTGGTCTCACCCACGTCACTGCTGTTCTCGAGAATGGCAACGCTGCCCTCATCAAGTTGACCCAGGAGGTTGTCGATCTCCTCTCCAGCCTCGGCCTCGGCGAGGTTGGTAGCCTTCTCGGCTCCATCGTTGGCGGCCTTGAGTCCATCACTGGCAACGTCAAGCGTGCCGACCCTCTCCAGAATGTCCTCTCCATCACTGACGTGAACGGCCTCGCTGGTGGCAAGGACCTCCTCGTTCAGGTTGAGCCTACCCTCACCAGTCTCCTCGGCGGTCTTGACCTCTCCACCGTTCAGGGCCCCGTCGGCAACGTTGTCGCTATGGCTCCCTCCGTCTCCGAGCTCAAGTCCAAGATCCCTAGCATCCCCGGTGCTAACTTCATTGCTGTCAACGCTGAGGACAAGGCTTCCGTCCTTTTGGTTAAGGTTAACAGCGCTGGCCAGGGTCTCCTCTCCACTCTTGGCCTTGGCAGCGTTGGCACTGCCGTCGGCTCCATTGTCTCCTCCGCCAAGGGTGTTGCCTCCCAGTAAATATTCTACCCTTGATGGGATGATCGTTCTCTTCTACCATTCACCAATTTCATATTTTATATATAAAGGGAATACGACCCCGTGGTTTGCTTTCGAACTAGCGCATGCAAAAATGACGAACACAATGGTCCCCTTTCTACCTACTTCTTGAGCATTATTATGTTTTGTATAGTGTATATATCCTCGACAAATGTTCTATATATCTGAATTAAGCTAATTATGTCCAAAATAAAAGTCCGGTTGTATGGGTATTCAAAACCCGAACTTGAAATTAGACCGATGATCCACCGTAGGTCGTTCAGTGGCGCATTCCACCCCAGTAACTCTCTCCACCCCGATCGTATGGGTTTGATGCGTCCTTGCACTGAGGGTTCTCATAGTCCTGGACCGTACCCATAGGCCAGATAGGCACGACACAAATCTCATTCGCCGCACAGCCACTGCACTCCTTCCACGTCGCCCAATCCAGATAAGCAATCAGATCCTGAACAACCTGAACCGCAGACTCGAGGTTCTTTTCCTTCCCAGCCTCAATCAAAGACGAGCAGATTTTGTGGGCAACACCGTGAACAGCCTGCGCCGCAAGAACTCCACTTTTCAAAGATCCCGACGGCAAGAACTGAGTCGCACAACGCTCACTCTCAGCAACATCATCACGCTCACTGTAATCAATGAACGGAGACAGAAGACGCTCAATCTCGGACTGCAGCTGCTCGATTGAATCAATGCTTTCGGAAATAAAGTATGACAGCTCCTTGCTGTACCGCGTCACGATCATATCCGTAATCGCCTGCCAGTCCTCGCTGACATCGGCAGGATTCTGCGTCAAGATCATAGATGTGACCTCGGCACGGAGGAAAGCGCGACTCCCAGCAGAGAGGCTGGCAAGTCGAGGGAGGGTTGAATTGTCGAGGAAAAGGTCTACATTGTGAGAGAAGGCAGTCACGAAGTGGTTGAAGTTCAGGGAGACTCGGTTTCCACCGATTCCGTTGTAGCGTGCGGTGATTGCGCGCATCCATCGCGATGAGTCAGGGCCGCCTCCGGGTCCGCCGTGGGGAGGGCCTCCAGGACCACCGGGACCACCAGGACCACCAGGACCACCGGGGCCGTGTCGCTTTCCATCGTCATCATCCTCCTTCCTCGGGCCATGACCGTCGTGGCGCTTGTCATCACCCTCTTTGTGAGGGCCATCCCGGTCACCATGTTTACGGTTACCCCTCGGTCCACGCTGTCCCTCGGAGTTCTGCTTGACCTGCGTAATTCGCACAGGAGTTAGATCGCGCTCAAAGTCACACAAGATAATCTCAAAGCCAGCTTCCATGCGCAGAATACCGTCAATGCGACCTTCCCATTCATTCTCGGCCATCTCGCAAGCCAGTCTGGCACGTTCGTTCTCCTGTCCATTACCCCGACTCGGAGAATCATCTAGCGCGCCGCTGAACAAAACCACATCCTGAGAATCAAGCGTTCCCTTCGATGTCTTGGCAGCAGACATACCATCGAGATACAAGAGACGGAGATCCTTGGCTGCAGCGTACGTATGCAAGTACCCGGACTCATTCTCATCGAATATCTTGGGTGGACGACCACCTGGCGGGCCATGATGTTTCTCCTCTGCGTCATGGTGTTCCCGCTTCCGTAGCTCGCCGTGGCCTCCATCTTGTGGCTCGGTGTCATCATCATCGGACGGCAGGTGTGGCGGGGGCCCGCGTCGGGGGCGTGCGAAGACCATGGCATGCTCAGGTTCGAATGCTAACCACTCGGTGCCGTTCACCGGAGTGGCCTTGGAGGTTCCGTGGTAGAATTGTGTACCGGCGGGAACACTCGCGAGGAAGAACGACATGCCGTTGTGATGCAGAGATGATCCCCATTGGCGCATTGAGTCTTGGATCACGTTGAAAATGTAATTTTCATTTCTGATCGGGACTTCGTCTGGGAAATTTGTTAAAGCGGTTGATAAGCCTAGAAGCCCGCATAGCGGGATGAGCGATGGTGGTCGCATTCTGGAAGAGACACTACTCTGGTAGGAGAAGTGTGAAAAAAATCGACTATTTTGGAAATTTTTATCAGATCGCAGATCCGGCTGCATTCGCGGAAAAATCGCCGTTCATATATCACAAGGCTACAATTAACGTACTATAGAAAGCCGCGTCATCAATTCGTGGCTATCCGCTTTCTGGTAGTTCGGCCCGACGCTAGGAGATAAGCTATGGCGAGTGGAGAATCGAGTCTGTTGGCCGAGTTGGATGAACATAATCTATAATCAGAAACATTATATATTACTGCACAATTATCTAGGTAGATCGACCTCAAGCTGACTCAAGGGTAGAATTTTATTATTCCCGAAGCAATGCAATCGGTTTCTCCCGGAAACCTTCGGAATTCTGCCGTAGTTAGCTTACTGATTGATCAACGCAAGCATTCGAACATTTTGGTCTATAGATCAAAAAGTATGCTTTCTTCGGCTTTCGTATATATCTAAACAGGTATATAAAAACAATATCTAAAGATACTACTAAAAGGACATGAGAAGGCTGCATAAGTGGTCAACTATCCTTGTTTGCAGTAAAGGGAAACCCGATTCCATTAGGGCTAAGAATGATGTTTAAGGATACATTATCATCAACTAACTAAGGTAACTGTAACATGCGGGGACCAAATTGGCAACCTTGCAAATAAAGCCATAAGAAGTAAACAAAGCACCAAGGAAAAGCAGATTTCAGTCAGGATCTGTTGCAGGAAGTCCGCACTGCCTTCTAACAGCTTGCCGCAGATGCCTGGATGTAATGAGCACAGGTACAATTCTCATCACATAAGCGGGTGTGATCTCTCGGCGGTTTGTCAAAAAGAAATGAGCGGACATTTTGACACTTGAGATACGGTAATAGAGTTCCGTGAGAGCCTCCGGCACATTATTGGTGTATGAGCGGATTGGCCTATCGGACATGGTTGCATATTGTTAGATGTTCCCCTGAGTGAGTTTGAAGTGTCGAGAAAGGTGATCTCAATTGCAGCGCGGTTTATCAGCTTTCCGCCCATACCTGTTTGTAGCTGATTGTCTTTTCTGTCTCCTGTTGAAAGGTCATAATGGTGTGGGTAATCGTCATGTGTCTCCATACTGGGTATGATACAGCAAGCTCGTGCTCGGGAATAGGGGGCGATAACTACCTCTAAACCTAATTTGTGAATTAGGCACGGTTGTGTTTTGCTAGCTTTGGGCACTAGAGAGATCTTAAAGTCGGTGATCGTTAATATTGAAGAGAGTTTTTGATGTGGTAGGGAGCTAGTAAGCCGAGACCAAATGCTCTCAGCTCCTAGTAGACGACCCCGGAATTCCTAAAGGATCTTGTCGTGGGGAAACCTTTGAGAGACATGTTTGGTTAGCTTTAAACATTTACACAACATTACCTTGGCCTGGAACGCTTCACTGGTGGTACAGCTCTGTGGAATTGCGTAGTGTAGAAATATGAGTCGTGGGGGTTGTTGAGAAATGTACACTTATCAACTTCATGTAGCAAAATACGTAGGAATTGTTAGACAGAAAGGTCGATTTGCATATTTCAAGCCTTTATTACACAGTTCTAGCTGTAATACTAAACAAAAAAAACATTTAAAGACTACAGTAAACCCCCGTTATAACGAATCAATTGATACAAGGTGAAGAATTTGTTAAACCCAGGTCCGATGCACAATATATATATTATATATTATAAGTATTTCTAGTTTAAATATAATTATATCCCTAAGAAGATCCTTAATATAATTCTTTTTATACCCTTGATTCCCTCACTTCTATTACCTGACCTTTCATGTCTATCAAGCACACCAATTAACTCCTCTCGTAGAGCCACTTTCTGGTGTTCGTTATATCCACGTTCGTCATAACGGGGTTTACTGTATTTAAAAATAGTAAAAAGACTTCACAAGACCCACTCTTTTCAAGAGAAAAGTTCAAAAAGAAACGTCCCCGGGAAGGCTTGAACTTCCAACCTCCCGATTAACAGTCGGACGCGCTAACCAATTGCGCCACGGAGACATTGATTGGTTATCGAGCATTAGGATAATGTATATATAGACATTCTATATACAATTCCTTGCCCTGCGCATAGTAGGTAGATGGGAGTGAGGATTTCTGGTGATTAGAAATTCTCAAGGTATGTTGCATATTCTATTTGATGCTTCTTTTGTTGCAGCTACTAAGCTGGAAGATCTCAAAAGGAAGAGGGAGAAAAGGAGGAACAAATCTCGATTCCTGATCTATAGAAAAGGTAGGGTCTTTTACCATAACGAAAAACATACTGGCAAACAAAGTTGTCAAACACACAAAGACAGACACCAGACAGAAAGACAACTCCAGACAAGCGCTCATTCTGTAAGTATGTACCTGTTTCTGGAAATATCTAACAGCTCTAAACGGTCCTCAAGTCCAGGGCTTTTTCTCAAGCCGAGGAGGGGTACTCCAGTGAAGAGTGATAGTATACGCTTAGATACACACCCGTCTTCTCCGTATAGGCGAACGATACCCAGCACAGTAGGCGATCTGTTTGTTGTATATCAAGCCCCGGGCTTATTCAATTAGTTTCGTAAGTTCTTTCGTCGCAAAAAAATCGGAAACACTTACAACAAGTCTTGCACAGTTTGCTCATATGCATTCCCGTGAATATAAAGTCCGATTTCCTTGAGATACTGGGCGATAGCACGCGCATTTTTCTGGTCATTGAGACCATAAACAGGGAAGTAAATCTTGGTAGCTGGGACCTTCATACCGGCCTTTGTTTCATAGTTCCACACCAAATGAAGGCCAAGGGGATGGGGACCGTGGCCAATCTCCAACACTTCCCACAATCGTTGAAGATGACCAAGACCTTTGTTTGACTCTGGTGAATCAATTCGCCCGCCGAAATCCCAAATCTCCTTAACCTTGTCCCAAGACATATCTTTGGTACGGCCGTATACCTTGTGGCGGGATTTTTCGGGAGTTACGCAGTCATGCGAGTAGACGAACCCGAAGTTTGCTCTCGCCTCGGTCGTTTCAATATACTCTTTCATCAAGCCGACTGTATTGTAGCAGTCGGCATCTCCAAGATATTCTTGGATGGATTCAGTGACAACAGAGCACATATCTTCGCCTGTCAAATGGCACTTCAAGCCTGGAAAAGTGTATCCCTTGACAGAGATCCTATCGGGTTTAAGATCGAAACCAAAAGCCACCTGGGAAAGTTCACGAATGGACTCATTTCTCTGCTGGAGCTTTTGGCTTTCACTTCTATCCAAGGTGTGCTTAGGATAAAAGTGCTCGAACAGACGGGGATCATATCCTTCAATATTGAGCTTCTCCAAATGCGAAAGCATGTCACGGATAGGGCTCATATTGTATGGATCTTCCTTAGTTCCAGAGATGGAGGTGACAGGCTCTACCGCAACTCGAATAACTGGTCTCGCACCACCTGACTGTTGAAAGTTGATGCTGAGTTCCAGGGGGAGTTCATTGTGGGTCATTGCGCTGGGAAACTTCTGAGGGTATGGTCCTAGATACGGGACAACAGATGTGTAAAAGAGCATCAGATGCTGACGTTGGGATTCATTGGTATAGCCCGCCGAAGTCATCAAGCTGGCCAGTAAAGGCCCAGTCCTCTGCCACCAGTTTCTTTGATCATCAAGTGGACAGTTCAAAGACTTGTCAAGAAGCTCAAATTGCAGCTTATCTGCCCCTTGGACGGCCATTTTGTCATTCACAACAGTCATATTGGAGATGTTTGCGGTTCATCAAACGTGCTGAAGGGAAAAGAGAAAGAAAAGTGAACGAGGCGGCCAAGAATGTTTTCCCCCTGTTGGGCAAATATTTATGAAGGAAGAGCAAAGCGATAGAAAGTGATCATCCTAGATACGCTAATGTTTTAGGAAAGCGATCAACCTGAGTATACGTATGTTCCACATGCAAGTTTCAGTTAGAGAGAGGTTGAGAGCAAGGGGGAGGTGATAGATCGACTTCTAGAAATCTACTCCGTATGGAGTAGATGTTGGTGATATAGATGACGGTGTGATACAGCCGCTAAATGACAAAAGGGTTCAAATAAAAATATAATGTGCGAGACTAGCTGACACTAGGTATTAACTACCTCGGGCGAGAAGGAACGCTAATGCAAGCACCCCTACTTACTTTCTTTTTTGCCAGTAATATCATAATTATAATCTGTGGCGTGCATGCATTAGCGCGTGTCTTCGCCCGAGCTAGCACAGCAGGATCTACTTAACTAGTGAGAATGCAGAAGTACCAGCATCACCACAGCCCCACAGGTGTATGTGGCTTGCGTATATATGCATCTGAGCGGGTAGTCTGAACTTACTACTACCCTCCAGCACCTACAGTATATTTGGAAGAAAAGTTCAATTCAACGATTGTGACAATATCTAGAGATTGGCCCGTTAGAAACGAATCATTTGAATTACAGATACATGACAGTACCGTTTAATTTTTATATATAGTCAATTATGGTGTACTATGTCGAGGAATAAATTATCCGCAGCACACCCGATATCCAAGCTCTCTAGCATTTGAATGCCCCTTTTGTCCGTTGATTTCCATTGATCAAATTAAAAATGGCAAAGACGACAGCCTTGACTCAATGGCAGCAGTTTCACGCCAAAAACCCAGACGTAGACTTCGTTTGGGTGTTGTTCACAACATACATTGGCACCAATCTGGTCCGCATAGTTCCTATGCCGGAGTTCAAGCGATTGTTGGAGACGGATCAAGGAATCTCAGTTCCAAAAGTCATACTTCACGTTCTCCCTCACGATAATGTGGCAGAAGGTGGGACCCTGACGGGGTCATTCTTCCTAAAACCCGATCCTCGATGCCTTTCGCCTTACATGGATAAAAACAAGGCAATTGTCATGTCTTCGTGGACCGACAAAGAAAAATTGCCCATGGGAGAATGTGCGCGCTCTAAGGTGGACACTTTGACACGGTTGATTGAACAGAAGTCGAACTGCTCACTTCTGGTCGGGTTCGAGCTAGAGTTCTGTCTCTTACGGGAACGAACACTGGACAACGGAAAATTCGAGTACGAAACGATTAATGGAGATCATTCGTGGTGTAGCATGACTCGGGAGGACGAGCTTCTACTTGGTATCCTGGAAGAAGCTGTTCTGGCTTTGCACAACGTTGGAATCATGGTTCAACAATTCCATGCGGAATTAGCTCCTGGCCAATGGGAATTTGTTCTTCCACCAGACTCCCCACTCAGAGCGGTGGATGCTCTAGTTCTTGCCAGACAAGTTGTTATGAAGGTTGCAAGCAAGCATGGATACCGAGCAACTCTTCATCCCCGATTATCACCCGAACTGCCCGGCACTGGAGCCCATGTTCACATCTCTCTCAATTCTGAATCTGAAAAAGTGGATTTGCCAACAGTGGAATCGTTCTTTGCTGGTATCCTCGACCATTTTACTTCCATTTCTGCTTTCACGCTTCCCCAAGAAATCAGCTATGGCCGGGTTGTCGGAGGTATCGGAAGTGGGGGTGACTATGTGTGCTGGGGGTGGGAAAATAGGGAGACCATCTTGCGACGAATTGCCAGTGACCGTTTCGAAATCAAGATGATGGACGGGCTAGCTAATCCCTATTTGGGGCTCTGCGCATTGCTAGCAGCTGGACTGGATGGTTTACTTCAAGGCTCGTTGCTGAGCTCTGGTCCTTGCACCATCGAGCCGAGCAAGATGTCCGACCAGGAACGGGCTACGCTGGGAATCAAGACGATGCCTTGTGAGCTGGCCCAAAGTCTTGAGAATCTGGAGGCGAATGAACGCCTCAAGCAAATTCTGAGTGATTCTCTGGTGTCGACGTATCTTACGGTGAAGAGATCTGAGTTAAAGGTCTTGCAACAGATGACCCCTGAAGATAGTCGTGCGTGGTTCATTTCGAAATATTAGATCTAGTTAATTACAGACAAATTCAATAAGAGACTGATATTCGCCCTTGAAGTATCAGAGTATTCTTTAGCAATTTGCATGCTCTATTTCCACCTCTTACAAAGTTCAAAGAAACAAGCTGGTTCTAAATATATCTTTTGACTTCGAGCTAATATGGCAGCAATGTTACCAGTGTACCCACATATAGTAACAAAGCGTGCCAAACGATCTTGCCGCCAAACGAAGGAGTATTCACTACATCGAACAAGTGGCTAGTCTGTACGGAGTATGAAACGTGTCAACTCAATCGGCCGTATCCTTTTGTGAGTACCAGCTAAATCAACAAAAATGTGATCAAGTGCATGTGAGGTATGAGATGCATCTATGCGAGAACATGCGGCTGCTGTGGAGACAGTAGCCCGAGGCAAAGATACGTGTAAACCTTACAGTGGTGTTATAGTGGTGCATCAGAAGCGGTCTAGGACTGGGGCAGGACAGATCTAGGACTAGCGCAAGCGTGGTGGATGTATGACATTCCAATGTTCATGTTAGGAGGAGGAATGGTGGGAAGTGTTGGTAGGAGGTATTATCTCTTGTTTTCTTATCAAATATTCGAGTGCTATTATAAAGATCTCGGACTCTGTTTGAAAAATGCTCTCCGTTCAAGGTCACTACATTAATCCCGACCTCATATGCATTCTTCTCTGTAAAGTCCTGCACCTATGTACGTATTCTGCTTAAATCGACAAAGATCATTGATCCAAGTTGATATACACCCCTCGCTATCTTATCGCCTGTGAAACTGATTTATTCTTCAGATATCTCAAGATGGGTTCCATTGGAGCAGAGGAAAGGCTAGACAACGAACTCTCCGGGATCATGTCGGAGGCGGAGTCTTTTCTCCTTCGACTTCTCACGATCAATCCTCCGGCCCCGTCTGACCCCATTGTTCAAAAGCTTCACCCGCACGAGATACAAAGTATGCGGCAGGAAGTCATGCCTAGTGACGATCCTCAAGATATTTCATCCGTCCTTCATCAAGCTATGACAGTCCTCGACAACCGCATGCGCCTCACCCACCCACATTGCTTCTCCTACATACCAGCTTGCCCAACTTCCATTGCCCGTCTTGGTGACCTTCTTACTTCTGTCTGCAACGTCAATGCTGTTAGTTGGGATGTGAGCTCTGGTCCGAATGTGGTCGAAAAAGCCATGATAGCCTGGCTAGGTGGCCAGCTTGGAATGCCAGACTCAGTTGGAGGGTGTTTTGTTTCGGGTGGCTCTATCGCAAACATGACAGCCATAGTTGCGGCCCGGGATGAAATTCTACATCCTACGCAGCGAGCCGACGCGGTAATTTACACCTCCGACCAGACACATATCTCTATTCGCAAGGCTCTCCATATAAGCGGCTTCATGGATTATCAGATCTGCAAGATACCTAGCGATGACAAATTCCGTATAGACGTGGACCTCCTCCGACAGGCGATCAAAACAGATCGCGAAGCGGGACGTGTACCGTTTCTTCTAGTCGCCAATTGTGGGAGCACCAACACAGGCAGCATTGATCCTCTTCATGCACTAGCTGATGTTGCACGAGATGAAGGGCTATGGCTACATGTGGACGGTGCATATGGTGCTTCCATTACGCTTTCTGACAAGCATCGCCACCTTGTTGATGGGATCGGTCGTGCGGATAGCGTTTCTTGGGATGGGCACAAGTGGCTCTTTCAGACATATGGATGTGGGATCGTGCTCACGCGAAAAGTTGGCTCTCTCTTGCGCAGCTTCGCTGTGGATGCCGAGTATCTCAATGGTGTGTTGGCACCGCAAGGTACCACCAACTTTTACAATCTGAGTCCAGAGCTCAGCCGCCCAGCACGTGCCATCTCGTTGTGGCTCACTATCAAGGCTCTGGGTCGTCATCATATGGGTGAGATGATTGACCAAGGTTTTCTTCTTGCCCGTACCGCAGATCATAGTATCCGTCAGTACAAGAACTGGATTATTGCTGCCCCAACTGTTGCTAGCATCGTGGTTTTCCGATACACACCTCGTGGGCTCGACGAAGAAGCGTTGGACGCATTAAACACGGCTATTTCACAGCGACTCTTGGCGGAGAACATTGCTGCTATACTCACGACTAAAATTCGTGGAAGAACAACACTGCGAATGTGTATGATGAATCCCCTTGTGACGCCGGAAACTATTGACAATGTTATTCTTCGGGTTGATATGCTGGCCCAATCTGAGCTTCACAAAACTTATCCAAAGGCGGTCAATATATCGCATGCTCTTTGTCGAGAGTGCCCTGCTGTTGATGTTCTTCAAAGCGCTAATTGATGCCTGTCCCAGCCCACATGGGCAATGCCAAGGGCGCCGGAGATATTGGGGTTATTGGAGTCCTACATGAAATTCATTTGATTATGTTGACTATTAATGCTTGAATTAGATTAAAGGATACTTTGGTAGTAATTTCAATTCGGGAATACTTGATAGATGAATTTTCGCTGATGAGTTTTGGACTTGAAGTCCCCGAATTTAATGTAAAGTTCCTTAGAACATACGTAGCTTAAGCCTCGCTTGGGCTGTTGAGAATCAGATAATGCGATCGAATTTTCCAAAGGCAGATAGCTATGCATATACGGAATGTTCTGCTTTTTTTCTATTCCTTCCTACGCATATATCGCCTCATGCCATAGATCTCGTTCTACGTCATACTTCCTCTACCAGTGATATTTCTAAATTCCCGGTAGGCAATCTAGAACGGTGGTAGAATTGCGGTAAGTGATTGTTATATCTGAGCTCACAAAAATATTAGGAGCAAAGCTTAGACCGGGATCATCGCAGGTATCCCAGACGACCTCAGCTCATAGCACATTCCTAGTACGGAGTACTCCGTAGTGTTGTAGCTATACAGATCTATTGTCTACATGGGTAGCATGTAAGGTGCAGTCTCGAACGTATGCTAAGGAGGAATGTTGTGATCAGCACATGGCGTAGCTGAACTCCGAAGAAAATAAATGATAGAAAATTCCATACGTTCGTAAATTTATGTACTAAGTTAAATTCCGGTTCGATTTTCCGCCCATTGGTGACCATCACCCTCCACTGATTGGACATAAGTTCTTGCACCCCTTAGCCACCCCGGGGCCGGATCCCTTGCTTATATAATATACTGACAGTCAAAAGCATCCAATATGATGTGTAGGACCCGTTTTAAGTAGGCGGTATAAATCTATAGTCGCGGTGAGCGGATCGGGGCGTGGAAGAATTTATGACTGTACTTATTTGGTAAATGTGACAATAATTGATATGTATACAGAGTAAATACAGTCTCTTTAATTATTCAGGATCAAAGGAATCACATCACAGACCTTTTACACTACAAAAACCGCATAGTGGAAGAGCGGTGACCTTAACGGTGTAAAATCTGAGATCCGCTCTAGGGGCTGAATCTGGTATATAAGCTGTGGGGCGCGTTCTCCTTGCCGTACGCATAGCTGAAAACTCCGTTTGTGTACGTAGATCTCTGCATATGTAGATCCACGAACAGGTCTCTGCATCGATAGTACAGCATACCTATTATGATATGGCCTGTGACTTATCTTTAGGAGTCCACAATTTTCAGTCAATGACGAGATTGCGTCGACATCCCTACTTAGCAATTAAATGCAAATTGAGGTATGTCTGACATAAAATTCTAGGTCCTCTACAAGCTTGTTATCCTACTATTCCCTCAGCCATTTCAACAGCACATGTGCAAAAGTCGATTTCAGCCATTACAGGAGGTACTAAAATGGCTACCGAGCGATGGTTTTACCTTGACTCTACTTCTGGGGGTCTTGTCTTGGGATTGATTGTTGTAACCTTCCTGGTCCTTGAGATAAGGGCAAGAAGGTTTAATCCATCCCGCTTGCCAGTATTCAATGACCGGAAATGGTGGGAAATTGGCTATGGTAGAGCAACAAAACGGTATATCTCTGATCCGGAGGGATTAATAAAGTCCGGGCTTGAGAAGGTGTGCAAATCTCCCTTCACGCAATCGCGACTCATCTATATGCACATCGCTGACCTTGGGGTTAACAACCTGACAATAGGGCGGAGACGCATTTTATCTATGCACCGAGGCCCATTTTCGCTTGATCCTCGGCCCAAAATATGCCGATGTGATCGGAGAGGATAATAGATTTGATTTGGGAATGTTTATAGGAGAGGTTAATACTTCCACTTATGGTACGCAATTGAATGCAAAATACTTACCAACCTCTAGGACTTTCATGCAGGAGTACCGGGATTTGAGCCAATCTCGAACATTTCCTTGCCGTCCAAAGTTCTACAGACCGCTGTAAAGACAAAACTGGCACGTCAGACTCGTAAGTTGATTGAAGATTTCAGACTTGCTTGCAACGTTAGCATTTAATTGACACTCGAATTCAAAGCCAAACTCGTCGATCCGCTTTCCAACGAAACGGCGCTGGCCCTGGATCGTCACTGGACTGAACAAACCGGTATACCTTCCCGTCTCAAATTCTTCGCATATTATGATACCCGAGGGGATTTTCTAACTTTAAAGCAGAATGGCACCAGGTCAACCTGAGATACACAGCGAGTCAAATTGTGGCACAAATGGTATGCCGAGTATTTCTCGGTGATGAAAAGCTGTGTAAGGATCAACACTGGCTAAATCTGATGTTTGAATTTCTTGAAAACACATTTATCGCCGCTCATGAATTACGCCGATGGCCAATTCCTATGAGATGTATTGTTTCCCGGTTTAGTCCAATCTGTCGGGCGGTTCGGACACAGCTTCAAGAGGTTGAGACATACCTAAAGCCTCTGCTTCACAAAAAGATTGGCCCTGATTCAGAAACGAATGCTCTTGAGTGGGTTATCGAGGCGAGCAAAGGCTGCTCATATGACTTTACTACATTGCAGCTCACACTTGCGCTCGCCTCACTAGATACATCCAGCGATTTGATTTCAAAGGCTATCTGCGATCTCTCGGAGAATCCAGCTCTGGTGGAAGACATTCGAAAGGAAATCATTGAGATTGTCGGAAAAGAGGGGTTGACCAAGTCATCTGTACAACGGCTATACCTTTTGGACAGTGCACTGAAGGAATCCCAGAGACTCCGACCACTCGGTTATAGTAAGTGATGTGTAAATGCTGATAACATGCATAAAATCAATTTATTGACCCATTGTACTTAGGCAACATGGAGCGACTCGCCAAAGAGACGGTTGTTTTACCTGATGGGTTGATTATCCCGAAGGGAACTGCAATCATGGTATCAGCATGTCATATGATGGACTCGTCAGTCTGGCCTAATGGAGACAAATACGACGGCTACCGATTTGCAAATTTGCGCAAGAACGCGAAGAATTCGTTGACAAGCCCCTACCAGCTTGCCTCCACGAGCCCTGATCATATGGGCTTTGGGCATGGCAAACAGGCATGTCCTGGAAGACACTACGCTACAATCTTTCTCAAAGTAGCGCTATGCCACATTATCCTGAAGTACGATTTCAATGTGGTCCTGCCGGAAGAAGGTCCCATTGAGTTGCGTGGGCATAATATTCTACCGCACTCAAAGATCAATATTAACCTCAGACGGCGGAAAGAGGAAATATGTTTGTGAAGAAGGTGGCCTTGGGTTCTTTATTGCACTTGAGACTTTCTTCAATGAGAGCCTGGTATATTATTACGGTTTTTTGGGAGGACTTGGTCAGTATGGGACAGTTTGGTTCAGGAAGTAGAAGTGGCGCCGTTCTAGGAATTTGTCATAATTTTTTGCTTTGTTAACCTGGCGATCCCGGAGGGTTGCCAATTAAAATTCTAGAAGAATAGACATGAGTGCTCAAATTTCAATCAATAGTTTTACGCCTCTTCGTAGATCGTTTGCGGGTACGGAGTACTCCGTAGTGTTAAATGACATCAATGATAGCACTTCGTTGTATATCTTTAGGGTTATGTATTTTACTTACAAAATACCCCTTCAATTCGAAAATCACGCAATAAAAAGGTGTTCTGTCTTGTTATAATTTACCGCTATTTGGGATGCACATAAGTGGAGATGACGCGGTATGTTGATACTACCTAGGGACATGCTAATTATCCCTATCGGTGATACTTTATGTTGTAGCATGCATATATATTTATCTCCCTTAATTGAATCTATAGTCAGGGTGGTAGCCGTCCCTTTCCACTCTCTCCATCCTTCTGCCCAATTTGTTATCTAGGTCGCCTGTTCAAATTGACTTCTCGTCACAACTCCAACCCTCAACTCAGAAAGTTCAGGGAATGGTGGAACACGAATTATCGGACCTTTCCACGGGCCCAATTGGCCATGACAAAAATGGCGAAAAAAAAGGAGACTATCTGGGCAACGAAGCCTCCCCAAACAATGAAGCCGCTCCAAGCAAGGAAGACTCTCCCATCAATGAAGAATCTCCGAATAACGAAGACTCTTCAGATGAAGTCCAGAAGTCAGGAATGGATTACACTTTTTTTATTACTGGACTATTAGGCAAGTCAGCTATTACTTCCCACAGAAGCCCTCTGGACCTCTAAACCTCGATCTAACCTGACATGGATAGGCGTATTTCTTGCCTTTGCGGACGATACTTTTGTTTTCACTACCTACGGTACGATCGCGTCTCACTTTGGTCACGGCTCCATGGGGCCATGGCTTGTCACGGCATACAATCTAGGATTTGCTGTCTCGTTACCCGTCGTATGATTGCTATTTCTGATACCCTTGACATTTCTGGGCCTGACAGTGGCAGTACGGACGTGTCTGCGACATTTATGGCTACAGGTACCCAATCCAAGCGGCGTATTTGATCTTCTCTATTGGATGTGCAATGTCGTGAGTTAAGACAAATAAAATCTCCAGGCCAAGAAGGCGACTTACATTTTTTAAGTGGATTTGCTACCAATTTATGGATTGCCATTGTTGGAAGGTTTCTTTCTGGAGCTGGTGGCTCGGGGATGACGGATTTACTCGTTGTCATTGTCAATGGTGTGTGGGATCTCTACCCTGGAAATAAAACAGTCAATATAAGCGCTATTAATTGTACTGATGATCGAAATACAGACTCGGTGCCCCTAAGAAAAGCTACAGGTTTACGTGCATACATATCGATCGTCATGACTATTGCTGTCCCCGTCGGTGCCCCATTGGGAGGTGCTTTGACTCAGTGGATCGGCTGGAGATGGGCCTTTGTTTTGCAAATCCCAATGGGCCTATTTTGTTTAGCTATGGCTTCCTGGCGACTAAGAAGAATCAAGCAGAGGAGCGACTCTGAGGACAAGGGAGAGGTGTCCCCCCGACCAGACTTTAATCTACTAGGGATCTTTCTTCTCGGTCTCTCCGTCGCTTCAATAATGACAATTTGTCAGTTCTCAGGTGAACTGAAATCCAAATTAACAATTGGGTTACCAATTGTATCGGCAATATTTTTCGTCAGCGTCTTGCTCTTTGGAATCAACGAACGGTACTGGACAAATGCCCCATTGGTTCCGATAAAGTTGCTCAAGACAAACAACATCGGTGAAATGTATCTTGCACAAATACTTCTTCTATTTAGCTACGGAGGTGTAGGTCAGCCGTACCTCACCTATCGCACTTTAACTGACCGGCTCGCACAGATCTCCAGTCATATCACGGAATTTTGGATCCGGACAAAGAACTACAACAACAGCCTCGCTGCTGCATGTATCCTGCCAGTCGTATTTGGAAACGTTCTGAGCGCAGCTATCAGTAGTAGAATCGTGCAGAAGTATGTATGCCGTCCTTAGGTGATCCCCGATAATTTCACTAATCCACCATTAGAACTGGGAAATACAAGATAATTCTAATCACAGGCTGCGTGGTTGCGATAGCCAGTAATGCATTGATAGCAGGACGATGGCCAAATCGACCACTCTTTTGCGATATGATATTTTACGCTGGCATGGGCCTCGGAGTCGGTGGGATTTTCGTATGTACCTTCTCAGCATTGTCAGTATCGGTCCCAAGTCAGATGACAGCTACTGCTATGACGAATTATTATCTCTGCCAGCAGTTGGGGCTGGTAGTGGGTGTGTCTGTGGTATCTTCAGCCAGTCGGGCGGTTTTTGAAAAGGGTCTGTCCCAGGACATTCCCTTGAGCAAAGATAAATCCCAGGTCCGTGTTCAAAATTTGCTTGGCCCTTTCTCTCTAACGGCTCTAACATTGTCACGATTCACAGCTTGTTGGGCACGTTTTGAATGATTTTCGATTTGCTTTTACCCTGTCTGAGTCGATACAGTCGATTGTGAGAGATTGTTTCTTACAGTCTTTTGGGGTCATGGCAGGTATGACAGAACTTCTCGGATTGCTATTTTCCCAGCTAACTTCCGTATAGCAATATCCTGCGGCGGCTTAGTTCTGGTTCTTCTTATATCCTTGAAGGTGCCTGAGAAGCGACTTGCAAAGTAGTGTTGAGGATCTAGTAGATGTCCTAGGTGTCATTCCGCCATCTACCTATCTCAATCCGACTATGTCGAACAAATCTCAGGTCACTTCGGTTTGGAAACCTGTAAGCCAGTTGTTACACCTATGGATGAAAAGCAAATTCCGATCCTGTGATCGGGCAGCAATGCTACGAAAGCTGAGGAGACAACATTTGAGATTTATATTTCTATGTGTAGGGGCTGCATAACCCCTCCGACGATTCGCCTTCTACAGAAATATGCAGATTTCGCACCGATTTATAGGCAGGGCAGAGTCATAAGGAAATAGAACGAGCTAGAAGTGTTAATATTTAATATACAGACAAAGGCAATACATTAGACATTCAAGTCTTCATAAAATACCCAGAGACAAAGTTATTACATACGACCAAAATACCACCCAAAATAACTTTCTAGGGACTTTGCCTTTCATCCCATTCTATAGATTGCAACAAATCGTCTAAAGAGGCATTTACTTGGAGCCAATCCCAGTCCATTTATGACCCGCGATACTGGAGATACCTCCACTGTGGTGCCCTTCATTTTTCATGCATTTTACTGTATATTTTCTCGTGGCAGTGGAATGAACAGAGTAAAGTCCTACCCAGAATAATAAAACGACACTTTTCCACTTTGAGGCCGCGCCTACTGCACAAGGTCTGCAAAGCGATACAGTACAGTAACTATTTAGGTCAATTAGACAAAGCTCGTTCACCAAACACATTTAGGTAACTCATAGTGCAAGGCATAACAAACAGTTGTGTTGTTTTATGGACATAATAACAGAAGGTACTACGTCAAGACATGTAATATTCAGACTCGGGTTTGCTATCCAATATTATGTATGGGATTTGCTGACGGTGAATGATAAAGCAGAGAGAGCTTAATGAACCAGATACCAATATGACAAAAGTTTATCATCCCTCAATTTCAATGTCGAGGATGTGACAGTCCCCGTCTTGAGTGTGGCCAACCTGGGCGGGAGCTTACTGCATCTGCGAGGGAATATGCTTGGATATCTTTGGGCAGGATCAAACGATATCTTCAAAGGCCATAATTACATTCATTTTGGGCCCAACTTGGTCAATTACATCACTTTACCCATAATTCCGAGATAGTTTATTCCTGGCCGAATGAATATATATTTGTTTTGTTTTACAGATATTTGTCGTGGCTCATACATAAGGCCCCCCATGAATGGGCTGTGGGGTGGGTTGGGCTTCGAAGGTTAGACCCATAGCCCATTGCTGGTTGGGCTTTGGGCCCGGGGATCGGGCCAATTTATGGACTTTGCGGAATACTAGGCCAGACGTGAGGGTTAGTCGGAGATATTGGGCAATTGGAAGTCTGATATGTCATTATTGTTATAACCCCTTTTCCCTTGTGAATATCGGTATAAATTTAATACATTAAATAGGGACAAAAGCTAGTGTATGATATTTGAAGCGCTCATCCCAGCTCCGAGTTTATTGCCACCAAGTTCGGTGGTGTACGGGCAACTACATAGGTAGGCAGGTATCTACCTAGGTATAGATGGATCCATCCTTGGATGGATACCATAATACATTACATAAGGTGGCCAAGAACCCTGCGCGTCAATAGACTGCGGCTAACTACGTAGGCACGGTGGACATAACTACCCAAAGCAGTATATGTATGCCGCAAGCAAAGAATGTGCCCCCCGTAGAATTTCTTATTAATTGAATGCACTCATAAGTATCAACTAAATGTTCGTGTAAAGTAGTAACTAAATGCACATATATGGCATGTAAGTTGATACAATTATAGATTATAGATGTACCTAGCAAGACTGTATGACCGTATACAATGCCACAGTGGATCTACCTAGGTACCTAAATTACTGCCTGGCAAGATTAACCAATAAGAGAGTTATGTAGCTGGTGGCATACAACCTTGGAAGGTTAGTCGCCCGGAGTGGTGGAGAACCTCCAGGGCTCAGATATCATGATGTCCGCATTTGCCAGTCTGCGCCCGTGATCATCCCAAGAACTTTATTAAGGCTGTCGTACGGTCAGGTCTGCTCCTTCATAAATTTTTATCTGTCCGAAAAAAAAACACTACCTCATTCCTCCAGACCTCCAATGCTTATCGATCACTTTTTCAAATCGAACGAGTCCTTCAGCTATGAAGCGCTTCGTGCGGCTGGCTACAGCAACTATGGTGGTGCAGATCTCGCTGAAGTGATAACAATCTGCTCCAAAATCCGACCTGGCAACGAAGATGACTGGATGCGGGAATGGCAAAAGGCCGCGGAACGCGCAGCCTCAAGCGCAGTGAAGTCCAAGTCTGTGAAAAACTACGAGAGTGCCTTTCAGGGATACCTTCGTGCATCGAATTATTTCCGCACTGCCGAGTTTTTCCGACGAGACAACGTTGACGAAGACAAAATATCGCAGTTTCTCTATGCAAGCTCGGAGAACTCGTTTATAGAGGCCATGGGAGTGTCTTCGTTCACTTACGAATCCATCGCCATTCCCTATGAAGGGACAACGCTTCCGGGATATTTCGTCAGCCTCGATAACACGAAGAAGCCACGTCGTACCATTATTTTCAACGGTGGCTATGACTCGACTATGAGCGAAGGGTGGTTTGCGATTGGAGCGGCAGCTCTTGCAAGGGGTTATAATTTCCTCGCCTTCGATGGCCCAGGACAAGGGGCGGCTATCAGGAAACAGCACCTGTATTTCCGACACGATTGGGAACATGTACTTACCCCTGTTGTCGACTATGCTTTGACTAGGGCGGAAATTGACGCCAATGCCATAGCCATCTTTGGGTGGAGCATGGGTGGATATTTAGTGGCAAGAGCAGCTACGCAGGAACATCGAGCCCGAGCCCTTATCCTGGATGATGGAGTCTACGATTTTGGTGCCGCGTTCCGAGCCCAACAGCCTGCACTTGTTCAGAAACTGGTTGACCTCGAATATGATTCGACTTGTGACTGGATTTTTGCCTGGGCGCAATCCTCTTCGACAGGTATTCGCTGGGGTCTACAGAATGGAAAATGGACTTTTGGAGTCCGTTCCGTCGCGGAATTGATGCGCGCAGTGAAAAAGTACACATTGGAGGGGCTGAGTCAAAACATCGTGACACCCTGCTTGGTACTTGATGCCAAGAATGACCATTTCTTGAAAGGCCAGCCAGAGGAGCTTCGTAAAAGTTTGCAGTGTGAGCACGAATTCGTTAGCCTGCCAGCAGACGAGGGCGGCGACTCGCATTGCCATCAAGGTGCTTTCTCTCGGTTGCATCAAATCATCTTCGATTATCTGGAAGAGCGCCTTGTGTCGGACGAGCAAAGGACTAGTTAGCCGTATTGTATATGGTTTTTGAATAATGCACAGATTTTATTTTGTTTGAGAATAAGGCTTTCCTAAAGTTCAGTCGTTGAGGACTTAGAAGTCAAAATTTACAAACAGTCCCAAATTGCGTCACAACTGCAGAACTAGAATGCCATCTAAGATCCAGGTGCTGAAGAGGCAAGGCCGACAGCGCAGAAGCTGATGGCTAAAATAATCATAACAGCTTCTCACAGCTTGAAACAAGAGATGACATTCTATTCTTTACATTTCGATACCATTCTTTGAATAGAGGATTTTAGCTAAGTGTATAAGCGGACTTCTTCCTAATTTATTGAGCTATCACACCTTATCATATTGGATATTCCTTCTGACACCAAATTTATCCCGAGGAACGGCTTCTCTTCCAGATGCGCTCCTCATGCCTATAAAATATATACCCGGAACAAATCATTATCTATTTGACATCTAGTCCGTGAGTTTAAAAAAGCACGGGAAAGGCAACATTGCTAAAGTAAGGAATCCAAGTAGACACGATACTCAGTGTCCAATCCATTTTACACTTATCAGAGAAAGAAAGCTATTAGAGATCTATCATAAAAGGTATTTCCAGCGAATTTCATACTTTGGGCACCGAAAAGGGGAACAATTCCCGCAAAAGTGGATCGTGTGAAACTATTTGCGGGCAAGGCGCTTGCGGGATATGCGGGATATGCGGGATAGGTATCCACAATAGGTAAATACACCGGAAAAGACGAGAATGGCCCTAGTGAATGGAAAAGTCATGCCAGGATCAAGGCAACAAGATGAAAAGGCAGGAATACAAATGGTTCATGGGTTCCTTTCCTATGCTTTGGTATCCAACATAATTTTGAGCACGTACCCTGCACCAAATGAACTGCTTCCGATTATGGGCACAATCAAATGGACGTTTGGAGGGGCTGTCCACGCAAATACAAAAGGCCGACAGTGACCAAAGGTGCACCTACTGTGGATACACGTGGTTTCATCAGGAGTCTTTTCTACTATCATACAATCACTTATAGTCGGTTTAAGATGATCAATCACCCGGCATCTTTCCAGATATTGGGATTGGGGGTACGTATTAGAAAGTTGCCAGATGCACTTACCTCTTTTACTCTGATATATCTGTGCCTCCAGGGAACGTTAAAAAGCTACGAATTGTAGTCCATATCAACCGAATTCTACATCATATTACCCATTAACTAATTAAAGGCGCATTCATACCCTACTGTATGTTGGAGTTGATTCAAAGTGACGGCTTCGATTGAATAAAATTAATTGCTTGATCCAAGAGAAGAAAAAGAATGGAGACAGAAAAGGTGTTGAGAACTAAGAGCTGGCACGGCGAGGGATAAACACAGGGAAAAGGGATGAAAGCAAAGACGAGATCAGATTTAGTTTGCATTCACTTAGCCTGGCTTGTGTAGATTGGAGAAATCAAGACTGGGTCCATCGAGTGGATTCCATCATTTGCACAGTATTGTAGACGTTATGCGAAATTCCGCGGTCAAGCTCCCGATAAGCAGCAAGAATATCGTCCACGATCTGCCGCAATGGACGGTCCGTTGTGGTAGTAGCAGTATTGGCTGCAGTCAGTTGATCTCGAAGCCCCTCCAGCTGACGTTCAATACTTCGGCTGTGCCTCATCAACCACGTCTGCCCAACCAAGTGCCTGATGATTTCCAGGCGCAGCAAAGGCTGTGTAATGGTGTCACCGGATGTGTCATCATCTGGGTGAGGAGTGTGGGATCGAGAATGGGAAGGGTTGGGTGTGGGATTTTGAGACGAGTTTATGGAAGCGTTATCTTGATGAGGGTTGATAGGACCAGGGGCAGCCGTAGGTGGAAGAGAAGTCGCGAGTGGCTGCAAATATCGGCAACAGTCGTCCTGTCCTTCCCAATGGCAGTTGGCGCAGGCTGAAAGGCCACGGATGTTGCGAACCGAGACACACTGAGAGAACATGCCAAACCGTTGTACGCATCTCGTGCATTGTAGCGCATTCTGTTGGTCCACCACCTGCATCAATGCCGCTTCCACACGGGGCAGGTTACGGTTCATTTGTTGCTGGAACTTCTGGGCCGTCAACCTGATTCCAGGACGCAGGTACGGCTCTCGTTGATTGGGCATCGTATTCAAGGCATCCAAATATCTCCCTTGCAGAATATCCGCGTGTCTGGCCACTATAAAGGGCAGTTTGTGGATATGGACAGCCCACGGGCCAGGTGCTCTCATCCTATTACCTCGGGCAGGATTGGGAGGAAGAAAGGTTTGTCGGCTTCTCAGTCGACCTCTGCGGCGGAAGTTTTGGCTATTGATGTGAGGGCATGTGCACTTCGAATGCTGACCCAGGAAGGGGAAGCGTGACTTACTTGGTATCCATGCCGGTCTGTGTGGGGTTAGATCAAAGGAATAGATTGAGAGCGACCCTAGTGAGAGGATGTGACATCGTTAGTTTTCTAAACCCAGAGGAGACTCTCAAGATCGAGACAGGAATAACTTACCACGGGAAATCGGTGCAAGTCGTCAGTGTGTGAATATGATGAAAAGCAATCTGGGATGAAAATGGGATGTCGTGGTCAAGATTGAAGAGAATCATGAGAGAAGTTTGCTCAATGAGCTCTCCAGTTGATGACCCTCCTTGGATTCTGCTGCCTACCCGTGGACATTATGTTTAATCAGCTAAGATTTCCCCCCTAATCTAAACATGCAGCCCACAATTCGATTCATTTTTCTGGCGTGCCTCAACTTACATTGACTTGAAGTAGTCAACCTATCGAAGATAGTCCTACTACATACATCCATGGATACTCTGGGCTATTACATACCTTTGTATACGCTAGTACAAATACGGAACTCTACCCCTTACGGCTTAGCCTTGATTTGAACATGGTCTTTGGGGTCGCCAGTCGCCAGTTAGCAAAATGACCAAGTTGTTCCAAGTCCAAGGTTAACTCCAGATGTGCTCGATATAATGATTACCTTCAATTCGAGATCCATGGATGAATGTCCCGTTGGATCTTATCATAGGGTGACTTCAATTGTAATGTTTTTATTCTTGGGTGTGGGAATGATTGGCCCTATGATTGATACCGAAGCTATCTCCGAGCTTTCAGACGTCCATTCAAATGTCGGCAGTTTGCAACCTCAACAGTAACCCGTGGACTAGACTTTCTCCGCAAGATTATCGGCTTCACTGGGGTAAGTCCGGAGGTTAAAACTGTGGGGAAGTCTCTGGGGATTCTACTTGTGTGATCAATCTTGGAATAATCTACCACTTACTCCATACACCATCTCATCAAAATTTGCAAAGCGGATAAAGTCCAAGCAGGAAATGATGAAATGACCCGTGCGAGATTCTCCCGCTTGGGATCGTGTGGGGAGAATGTGGGAGAAGCGGGAAAGATTTACTCCGCCATGAAGCAAAAATGCAAATGGTAGGATCACTCGGCCATTACGCCTTAGAGGATCTTGTTTTTAAAAGAGATTCCTCGCGCTATTATTTTAAACATCTTTCCTTTGACACATTTTAAATAGTCTTCTTGTTGTGTTAACACCCATCACGTATATATCGTCTCCGCACACCGATAAAATGACGAAAGCACCTCAAGATTTACAAATCGCCATTCTGGGCGCGGGCATGGGTGGCCTGACTTCCGCTTTGGCTCTTGCTCAGCAGGGATTTAAGAACATTGATGTTTATGAAAATGCCAATGACCTCGGCTTTGTCGGGGCGGGTATTCAATTGGCACCTAACATGGCCCGCGTGTTGGATGGACTCGGTGTCTGGAAGGGCATTGAGGCCGAGGCCGTGAATATTGAAGACACATCAGTGCGAGGTATGTTACGATCTACCAATCACAAAATGTAATGCGATCTAATTCATGGTTGCAGACGGCGCAACAGATGCGGAGCACGCATATGTGGATCTGCGGTACATTGAAGAGACATACGGATATAAGCACATGGTTGGCCACCGTGCATCACTAGCCAACGGACTATACAACGGCTGCAAGCAGCACTCATCAATCAAGTTCCACTTCGGAATCAACGCAGATAATGTGGACTCGTTCGGTCCTCGCCCATCATTCACAGCTAAGCCCCGCGCCGAGGGAGCTGCTCCATTCAAGGTCGAGTGCGATGTGCTTCTCGCTGCGGATGGTATTAAGAGTGTCACCCGCGTGGAGATGCTAAAGCGATTGGGTGTCAACGTTGGTGTCAAGGACACCCAGCAAGCTGCCTATCGTATCATGATCCACAAGGAGCAGATCAAGGACGATCCCGAGCTTTTGGCCCTCATCAACAGCAACCGTGTGACCCGCTGGATTGGCGAAAAGCGTCATATTATCGCCTACGCCGTCTCCAACAATACTATCTACAACCTCTCCACCACCCAGCCAGACACCAACTTCGCAGCCGCCACAAATGCCACCTACACCACCAAGGGCTCTAAGCCTGCCATGATGGATGTCTTTGCTGACTTCTGCCCCATGGTTCAGCGTATGCTAAACTACGTCCCTGAAGGCGAGGTCTGTGAGTGGAAGCTGCGCGTTCACGAGCCTCTCCCCACTTGGGTTCACGATTCCGTCGCCTTGGTTGGTGATGCTTGCCACCCTACCCTGCCCCACCTGGCTCAGGGTGCTGCCCAGGCTATTGAAGACGGTGCTGTTCTCGGTGTTGTTCTCTCCAAGCTCCCCGATACTACCCCGGAGTCTATCAACAAGGCTCTCCGTGTTTATGAGAAAGTCCGCAAGAGCCGCGCTGAGGCTTTGGTTGACATGGCAAGCGCTTCTGGTCGTGCCCTGCACTTGGGTGACGGTGCTGCGAAGGAGGAGCGTGACAGGCAGTTCGCTGCCCTCCGTGCTGGCAAGGGTCCCGTGCCTGATAAGTGGGCTGATGCCGATGTGCAGCGTGAGATCTACGGCTTTGACTGCACCAAGGTGGCTGCGGATAATTTCGATGAATACTTCTCGCAGATGTAAGCATTTTTTTCTTTACATATATGGCCATTTCTTTCCTGGATATTTCCATTTTGTATACTTATGAACTTCGAACTGCACAGCAAAATAAATGAGAATATCATGACACCACCAACCACTTTGCATTCCTTGAAGAACACGATACTAAACTTCTTTTCATTTCTAAAGGGATATTACACCACGTCACTCTAAGCTTGCATGAACGCTGGTCAGTCGAGGCTATACGTGTCTCCCATGAATTAGATCAATAGAACCGAATATAATTACGGATCATCCTCAAGTGTTCAATTTCACACCGTATAAGGGCAATTACTCCCACAACAATTCTTAGCCATCTTTAAGATATCAATTGCCCAATTTATCGAGTATCGCGCTCTCTTTTAAAGGGATTGGAGGAGCATCTATTTAGGGTCATCTACCCTTTCATTCAGGAAAATTTGTTGGAAGAGTCCTTTTTGCCGAAACGTTGTGACCTACGTATGTAGTAGTTGAGCCGCAAAACAATTTGCGCGATGGCCGGTTTTGCCTATCAGCATCGACGCGAACCTCAGAGTCCGTCCAACTGGGTGCATTAAAACAGCGTCATGGTGTTCTTTCCAGACTTCTGATTATTTCAGATAAATGCCTTTCCCGGCGGTATGTCTAAAACATGATTTATCGATTCTCCAGGCTAATTAGACTGTTCACAGACTCCATCACCATTCCGCCTCTCCCGCCGCAACCCATCCACGCGCCGCAGTGGCCCTCAATTCGCACCCACACCTCGGTTTCTCCTATCGCAAAGTGTAACGCAGAAGGAAGATGATGATATTGACGTGATAGATGACGATGGGCCATCTTCAACGCGTGAAGTCGCGGGTAACCCGCCTACTGTCCAGAGTGCCACCCGCGCGCGCCAACAACGCGACGTGATCGAGGACTCTGATGATGCCGCAGATATAGAGGATATACGAATCGGAGGGATAGCTGCAGAGAACCTAGCAGATGATGCCATAGACTGCACTCCTCCCGAAGAATCAGAGACTCCAGGCATCCTGGACGCTGAGTTCGACGCACTATTTGAACCGGTTAGAGATGGGAATAAACGGCGCCGCGTGGAGGGAGCGACGCCCTTCAATCGAAGCAATCTCACACAGGTTGATCCAATATTGTCATCACCTCCCGAGACTGCGAACCCTCCAGCCGATCCCATCGATTTGCCCGATAAAAGCAGGCAAAGCACTACGACATGGGATACGGGCACCCAGAGAACTCCCGCACCACGTGCACGTCCATTCGCACCACCCTTATCAACCCCAAGCGACATGAAAACACCATTCCGCAGTCGTCCTCGGTTTATGCTTTCCTCGACAGTGAAGCCTCCCAGCAGCCAGTCTGCACCCAAATTCAAACTAGACACACCGGGTATATCACCGCCTGAGAGACGGAAGCCGGCTTTTGTTTTGCCTCGCTCACCGTCACCGAATCCGGATGCAGAGGATATCCCTGCACCGTTCTCTCCCTCTTCACGTACACTGCGTCGCCGTGGTCGAAACCGAGCCGATGTGTCCAATTATATTCCTGGCGGAATGGCCGCAGAGGTACGCGGCTGGATCTTGGAAATGGGCACGAAACGTGACCAGTTACCAAAACCTCCCTTGGCTCCAGCTCCAAACTCGCAGGCGCCGGATGCCTCGCTGGAAAAGCTGAATGCGTATCTCCTGACTGCACGTGTCATTCATGTCAGTCAGTCATCTCTGAGCGGATGTGGCGCTATTGCCTTTTTCGAGCAGAAGTGCTTACTGGGAGTCATGTGCAAGGGCAAGGGAGAAATCCTAATGCAGTCTTGAACATCATGATTATGGGACCTTCACGGTCTAAATCCGCTGTTCGTCCAACTTCCTCGCATTCAAATGCCACTGTCACACCCCATCTGCGGAAGGGAGATGTCGTGGGGATTCATAGAGGTCTCAACTGGAGTTTGGAGCTTGGGAATTCCTTCTTTGAACATGGAATACCTGGCCAAGCAGGAGATCATGTGTCGGAGTGTGCTCCATCTGAAAATGGCGGACACTCACAGACAAAAGAGGGCTGGCTTATTGCCATGGAATGGGACCTTGTTGAAGCAGCTGATTGAGTGACAGCGATTTATATCGGTATAAGTTAATGTGTACCATTTTGCTTCTACCATATTCCACAAAATTACACATATCTACCTAATATGGTGCTGTGTATCATGACTGATGATTTATACCCTGAACAAAAATAAAATGCATATATAAATAACATGTGATAGAGCAATATGGCGGCGTAAGCTAATCAAGTTCCAAATCCCAATCCCAACATCCCTCAGGCCATAGCAAATCATTTGGGTTCATCCAACAATAAATCATCCTGCAGCTCTTGAACCGGAGATCGGAATTGTAATGACACTCTGTCGGGGATGCAGAACTCCTCTGGTTCGAGGAAAATGCCCATCTTTCTTGCTTCCGTGACATGCTCCTCATCGTAGCGGTCACGCCTCGAAAGATGCTCGATCACGCGATCATACCAATACCCATCGAGGAATTCTTCAAGGGGAAGGCTAAGCTCATCAAGTTTGCTTTCCATCTCTTCCATCAGTTCTTCGAATTCTTCGACCAAGGAATGCTGGTCATCCGCGATACTACCAACTTCTGTCTCATCTCTCCTTTCTTCGGGCACACCCGGCCCAAGTGGCTGAGAATATATTTCGGTGCAGCATGTATGCGTGAGGCCCAAGGCATCGAACGTTAAGATTCTGACTATCGCTCGCGGAAGGTCTGGCCAGTAATCCTGCCATACAATGAGAGAGAGAATCAATTTCCGGAGCGGGATATGCATGATTATCCATCTCCCCTTAGATACCTCCAAAAGGATGGATCGAAGTGCCACTGAGAGCGTGGTACATCCGCCAGAAGAACAGGCGCAAACGCAGCAGTCTTTTGTAGAAGACACAAAAAAGCAAGCGTCTTCTAATTCAGCAATACCTTTTTTCCAATCGCGGTATTTCTTTTCGCGGCTATCTAATTCCCCCAAAAATTCGAGGTCGTCAAGATACTGGTAAATAACCTGGCTTGTGAGAAGATGAGCAACTTTCGCATTTGATGTCGGCAATTTCCGTTCAACACAGGCACCTCTTGACATCAGCCAGGCTGCACACTTGATAATCACAGACGGTTCGGCTTGACAGAAATCATTGAACCCCATTAAGGGTGTTATGCCATACTGGTCAGGAAAATCAACATCATGGAAACCAATTTCATACATGGTATCCATGACCTTGGTGAAATCCCTAGATTGGTAGGCTAAACTGGTTTGGTACACACCCATGGATCCCAGTGAATTAGCCCCAAAGCGCAATGCGATCGGGACATCTATCCCTTTGGCAGCCAGAGCCCCGTATATGTTTGCTGGGGGCCCATCGAGAGACGGAATCTGATCGAGTGGCAAGGACGATTCGGCCAGCGTGCATAATCTTCTTCGTCTTGCTGCCAAGTGATCTACCAATAGTGAATATGTTTTACCGCCATCATTACACAGCTCGTTGCGGACAAAATCGACCACTTCAATCACACATCCCGCTTCAAGTACAAGAGCGGCAGAAACGTGGTATTCCTCTCCCTCGGCTACAGCAAGCGAAGGAAAGTGACTATGCGGATTTGCCCCTAACTGTAGAAGAATTTGCGTCCCCTTTGGCCACCCGAATGCAAGCTCAAGTGGTGAAAGGAAACCTATCCTATCATTTGGCGAGTTCCCACTTGTCAAAGCTTCCCTGAGCTCTTTCTCGGACTCGCGAATGATTGCTTTAGCTATCTTCGTGGCTCGAATCACTGAAAATTAAGTTAGCTTTGTAAATAAATGATCCAATATACCCCCGAGGAGCGATAATAGAAAAATTCATACATTCTTCATCTTGAGAGAGAACAAGTCGAAGATTGTGTTTCAAATTAACATAATAGGGAGGAATTTCAAGTACATGACGGGGGTGATTTAACTGCAGTGGCCCTGTCACCTCAATCAAGTTCAAAATCAATGGAAGATCTTCCATCTTGAGTATAGCCTTTGCGCAAATATACAATAATGGATTTTGTATCCAGTCTTCTGCGTTTTTTGGTTTCATACCACAGTCTAGCATGAATTTGACTGTTTCAAACAGGGTCTGTAAATCACCCTTTTCATGAAACAATCCGTATGCTTCGAGGCATATTACCTACCTTCAGTAAGAGCCATGTTTTGGGTAAGAGTGTTTGTGAACATACATCCATAAGAGATGCGATTTCATCATTTGCAAGGTAATAGAAGGTGTCATAGGGAGACAGTCGTTGCTCAGAGAAAGCACGTAGGAGTGTTGGAATGACCAAACCATTTCGGCGACAGTCCTGTGTTATTTTAATCATTTCGCCGTATCTCTCACTACCCCACCCCCATACACTTTGAATTTGCAAGTTTGGGGCAATAGACAAGCCTCCAGCGCCTCGAATCATAGAGAAAGATGCAGATATTGCAAAATTCAAAAACCGGTTGTGATAGGTGTATGCTCTTGTCACTCTCTTTGACTGAGCCCTAATCCACACTTGCCGCTGATATAGGAGTCTATTGCTGAAGATGGTCAACTAATGTCCATACTATGATTTTGCACAGGCCATACTTGTAGTCTCCTAGATCCGTCTGTGCTAATGGGCCACTGTCCGAAACCATCATTGGCGGTTGTTTGTTCTGAGAATCACACGCAAGTTGAAGTAAACTCGGCGGTGGCATGCCTGTTGATGATATAGCCATCTTGAGGATTGAATGCATACTCTGCATCTCTTCGTAAATTGAAATTTGCATGGCTCTGGACTCCCTTGTATCCTGCCAGTTATATCTGCTCAAGGGTCAATGATCACACCTTGAGGGGTATATATTCAGCCAATTATATACCTACATCAGCAGTGATGTCTGCAAGACGTTCTGGATCTGATCCAAATGATTCTGCACGTCTTGCAAAGTGTCTTTCTGGAAGTAATACACGCCCTTCTTCAGCTGAGCACGAACTTTGTCCGGGAAGGCCTCTGACTGCGCAGGCTTGAACCGGTCCACAACTTTCTTGAGTTTTTCGATCGAACTTTGCATGCTCATGACTTGCTCTTCGAGATCTGCAGCCACTTCCGGTCGTGTCTGCTGTAATTCCTCTACCGTTTCACGTAGAGTCTTCAGTGGCATGCGAAGAGCTTGCGCCTTGTTCCTCGCATTCTGAATCTCTTCGTCGTAGCCCCGCCATGCCTGACTGTACGAGACGATCCCCTGGCAGACTTGTAGGCCGAGGGATATGATGCCGACGGCGGTACCCGCAAGGTCCATGTTCCGCGATGTGATGCTTCAAGATCGAATGTTGTTGTAAAAAAATTGAAGTCATATGGAAGTGATCCACGGGGGCAACCTGTCGGTCGCCAAGGAGGCAGTGTTAGTCTCATGCAGCGTGGTAATCGTGGCCCCAATCAAATGGGGGGGCTTAGCGCTCAGCTGAATAAGATAGTTTATTTGCTGGGATGATTTCGAGTTATATTTGGAAAAGTGCCTGTAAACAAACTGCAGTGGCCTTAGAAACATCATATAGTAGTGGAACAGAGTCAAGGGTATGGGAGAGTTGTGTAGTCTGGTGGATTTGTACGGAGAGCGTCGTTGATCTCCTCCTCATCTTATTCAAACCGACCAAACCTCGGAAGTTCTTACATGTTTTTTTTTTGAAGATGGGAAAAGCGTGGAACGTAAACAGATCATGAGTGCGTAACAACTTGGGTATATTCTATATGCAACTGCAAGATGATTCCAATGCAATCCTTACTCCGCCACAGCCTTAAGGGCATCCGCAGCCACATTGCATCCCCACCGAACTAGCTTGAGTTCCTCGGGGGACACAATATCAGTCTTTGCGACAACCTTTCGCACAAAATAGATAAGGCCCTTGGCGATGTGTGGTGTTTCCTTGACACGCAGGAAAATTTGCATCAAAGGCCCTTCATCCTTCTCGGGCTCATCTGGTGTGGAGTTCTTCGACTTCTTCTTCTTCTTGGACTTTTGAGATTGTTGAATGATACTGATGATCAAGACTTCGACAAACGTTTTAGTCTTGGGCTGCAGGTATGCGAAGTTGAGATTCTTCAAAATGCTCAGTGTCAAGCTGCCGTCCATGATGAGGGTGCTGAACATCTTGGCCAAATTGACCACCGACTTCATGCTGATACCGTTCTCCTCATCATCTGGATCGAAGTCGTTTTCTTCATCCTCATCAATATCGCCTCGCTCGCCCATCTTCTTGAACTCATTCCAAAGTGCAAACATAAAGGACATCTTGATGCGTCTACCCTGCTCACCGCAAAGCCGACGCGCAATCAGAGAATAGTACGGGTTATGGGCCTCTTCCTCCATGGCACAGTGTAGGAGGACACGAGGGATTTCAAACTCCTGCGCCCGCTTGAGACGAAGCTTCATGAGTCGGACATGTGCATCTTGGAAATCGTTGGCAGACATGATGGCAACGAAGATCGATCGACGAACATCCGTGTTCATGCGGTGAGCTCGGGCGAGAACTCCAAAGTCAGGCTCGCCGTCGCTTCCATCATCTTGAACCTCAGGTTGGGCCATTTGTACACCAGCCATTTCTCTTTGCGCTGTTACAAGAGGATCTTCCTTCCAGCTTGCACCGACCAACCACCACTTGCCCTTCTTGGAGGAGTTGTGGATATCGTCACGGGAGATGTTAATAGGTTCGGATGCGCGGATCACCCGAGAGCTGTTCAGAGAACCCAAAATTTTGCGCATTTTGGTAATATGTTCTGTAGTGATACCTGCGCCAGCCGCGGCGGAGGCTTTCGAGCGGTTGTTTTTCAAATCCGTGATGAGGTCAATCATGAACTTCGTTCGAACAGAAAGTCTATCCTCGCCAACCTTCGCGACAGCGGGTTGAATAAGCAATACAATATCTTTGAGCGCAGACGGATCATCGAGTCGAAGTTGAGGGCCAGAATCTGTGTAGACGTTAGAGGGCTAATATTTCAACCATGGGTTAGGAATATCACTTACTCCGAATGACCTTGAGCAAGAGTTCGGTGTTCGCTTCCGTAATCTCCTGCACGTAAAGACGAACATAGTCAAACATCAAGGAAGAACCAATGACGTGGAAGTTGTAAAGTTGCGAGAGAAGAGAGACCAAGTTGGTAGCTTCTTTTCCTTGGAACTTTCCACGCTCGTCGCCATCGGCATCCAATGTTTCAACAACCGTTTGAATAATCTCTGCGCCAACGTCCATTCCCATGAGCTTATACAATGCCGCAATGAAACCGGCATGCAAAATGAGGAAGGTGTCCTGAAGGGCAGCCCTCTCGCAAATCAGGCCCATTAGGAGGCTGACCAAAGTAGATGTGACGTGTTGGCGTGGGTAATCGCGGTAAAGCTTTTCGAATTCGGCAACAATCGAGAGCATGTTGGCCTCGGACAACTTGTTGAGATGTCCTTGGGCCTGGCGCTTGAGACGAGTGAGAGATTCGCTTTCCGAGTCTGAGCGCCCTCGTAATGAAGGTGGGATGTACTTTTGAGCGGTGGGTTCAGTTTTCGTGACCGGGGCGATATAAGGATTCTCCTTCTGTTTTGGCTCCTTGCGCTCTTCCTCATCGAAGCCGTCGAAATCACTGCCTTCGGCGGACTCGTCAGAATCATCGCCCCCAAAGATTTCCTCATCGAGATCGAGGTCCTCAGCGCTGTCCATTTCACTATCATCTTTTTCGAGTTGCTGGGCTTGCAAGCTCTTGGCCTTGAGTCTCTTGTTTCGTAGCCAATCATCGGCTTCTCGTTTGCGCTTTTTGCTCTCATCCTCTGAGGCATCGCCGCTGCCACCACCTAGGTCTCCCAGCAAATCATCTAGCCCGTCATCCTCGAAGGCCTTAGGTTTACCTCCTTTCTTGAGGCCAAGCTTTTTCTCCAATGCAGCAATCTCGGCATCGTCTTGCGCCAACTTAGCCTTAACCGATCCGGGGATGTGGGCCTCTGTTTCTTCGGGTTCATCCTCGGGCTCGTCTTCGTAGGCGTCGTCATCCGACTCGTCGTCTTCATCCTCATCCTCATCCTCGTTGAGATCAATTTCTGACCCGAAACCGGACTCGGGCTCAGAGTCGGACTCGGATTCGGAGTCCTGTTGAGCTGCTGCTTTCTTTAAGATAGATTTGGGGTTCTTCGCGGCCTCTTTCGTGGATTTAGACTTGGTCTGCGGCGCACTAGGTCCCTCGTCGAGATCCATGCCGTCTTCCTCATCGCTGTCATCCTGAGCCTGCTGCTGAGGCTTTTGCTGATGCCGCTGCTGTGGGCGTTCGAAGGTCTTCTTGGTTTGCGGGGCTGCGTGTCGGGATTTCTTTTGCGTACGCTCATTTTGGCGGCGTTCTTTGCGCGAGGCAGGTCCGTTCAGGCGACGCTTCTTGTCACCATAGACATCGCGGATTCCGAGCTCGGATCGCAGATCGCGAGGCAAGGCTGTCGTATTATGCCGAGGGCGGGGCATCTTGTTCCACTGAAATATGTATTTTGTCTGCTCTCAAAGAGTTCAAATGTCGGTCCTCGACATCAGGTACCCCGGGCGGTCGGCAACTTTTTTCACTTTTCTGCTGCCCCAAAACAAAGGCGGAGAGGCACCCACAGCGGAGGTTCTCCCCCCACTGCGAGTTATGCCCAGCTGTCAATTGCATATTGATCATCTGCTCCAGCTTTCAGATCTCTTAAATATCACGCGCCTCTAAGAAAAGATCTCCAAATATGGCCCCACATCTGGGACACGATGAGGTAAATATTGTTATTGGTGTTACCTGACCTCTACACCTCCGCACATGCGACCACGACCACCAATTTCAAGCTATATATCACTAACACCGGTCACCTTTAGTTCTTCAAATCTCTCGCCGAACTGCTCTCCAAAACCTCCCAAGAAACCCACGGCTCGGTAAATCTCACTCAAAAACCTCTCATTGATGTGCCCGGCGCCACTACTACAAACTCCCAACCATCTATCCTCATCCGAGCTACTGATGGAAACACCAATACGCCGAACCTCAAGACCGCAAGCAAGGAAACCCAGATCTCCATGAAGAAGTCGAAGAAGATCAAGCTCTCAACTATCGTCAACCCAGATGAAATTGAGGCGTTCTACGTTCGCTACGCCGAGGTCTGCAAAGCAGGAATGTCCGGGTTGAAGAAGCGAGATCGTCGCGGCCGCAAGGCCAAGACTAAGGGAGGAGCTGCTAAGGTCACAAAGGCATAGATTCGCTGTTTGGTCTGTTTCCTAGCTGGCACGATCGTATTCATGTGCTCGGTCTAGACCTGACACGCGATGTGTTTGATGGTTTCCTTTTCTCATGCATTAGCTGGCGTTCGATGGTGGTTACGACTTCTTGTTCTCAAATTTTTCAATGCGAACTTCCTATCAAGTGTATATATTCCCCTACGCTTGTGGCCCACGAGCGCTGTGTTTGTTTATACGAGTCCTATGGGACGAGAAAAGAAATAAACGGGTTTTAGCATTACGGTCAGGCGTGTCACTATTCGTAAGTTGCATCTCAAACATCTTTGGCCAATTATTTAGAGGAGAGCCAATGGCGCGATATAGCACTTTGTGTTCAGGCTATATAGAATGGAGATTGAAAGAGCGTATTTGTATCAATTAATTATTCGTTTCTGACATGACCCCGAATTCCCGTCAATGAGACACGCAACGCTAGAATACAGAAATTCAGTAGAATACAAACCATGCCATATATCCACCCATGAGCCGTGCAAATCAGTGCCAAATATCATAACAAGAAAAGAAAGCATTAAGATGGTCTGTGTAGAGAGAGGGGGAATACAAAGAGTAAGCATTAAATCGACCGTAAGTTGGGGGGAAAGATTCAGATGAAGAAGGGAAAAGAGTAAGAAAATTAAAAGACGGGCATGTCAACCATCCAACTAGTCCAGATCCCAAGGGTCAAGTTTCTTGAAGATTTCAGCATCCTCGTACTCTGAGGAAGTTTGAGGCTCCAGCGGAAAGCTGAAATCATCCTCTGTGGCTGGATCCTTCCTTGTTTGCCGGAAATGAGAATTTGGCTCACTCGGTGTTGAGGTGATGGTCGGCTGGATAGTTGGGTTGATGACAATGCGCGCAGCGATGTGGAGGAGAATGACAAAAAGATAGGCAGGGGGGGGATTAATACTAGCGTGATAGCCTTGGAAATGAAGGATGAGCCATCATCACCGGATGGTTGGTACAATGCCGAAGAATGAGGCATGGGGGAAACGTCACGCTCTCTTGTGGCTTTTGCCCGTCGCCGGAACTCGGCACTCATGTGATCGAAATCAGTATTCAATGCAGTGGTCTTGGCATGAGAGTTTGGGCGTATTTGAGTGTCCGAAGATGCATCCGTGAAACGACTTGGTCGATTCACATTGCTTGTAGGAGCCATTGAGGGTGAGGTATCCGAGAACGCATCTGCAAAGCGCCTGGGCGGATTGTTCGAACTTGCACTATGCATTAATGGAGGGACAGGCGCGCTGATTGGGTTTGGGATATCATCGCTTTGAGGAATATTGAGTTTCGGGTGCTGTGATGTGCTGCACGGATCCGCTGGTGCTGATTCCAATCCAGAAATGATGTATTTTGTGCTCGAAAGATTGAAGATTTCTTCTGACTCTGGCAGATCGTGCCCTCCCACGGATGTAGGATGAGTAGAGACTGAATCTGGCGACTGGGGCTCAGCAGAATGGAATGACTCGGGGCTGGAAGCAAAGGAGACATCATGGTCAACCTCCGGTTTAGGTTGAGTGGCGGGTTGAGCGGGTTGAGCGGGTTGAGCGGGTTGAACTTCTTCGACGTTCATTAAATTCTCTTCTGGTACTGCCTCAGCTTCGACTACACTGGTGGTTTCCGCATGGAATACAACTTCCTCAACTTCCTCCGGGGTCTCAGCAGCCAATACTGCGTCAGTCTCGATTGAGACGATGGGCTCTGCTTCAACTGCAGCCTTGCTGGCAGCTTCCGCTTGTGATATAGCCTCTGGCCTGGGTTCAGGCTCAGCCTCAAGTTGCGCTTCAGCTTTGAATCCAGCATCTAGGATAGGTTCAGATTCAGGCCCAGCTTCAACTCCGCCGTCGCCTGGTAACTTAGGTTCGGGTGGGTCTTTAACCTTGGGCTCATGATCAATTTGAGGTGCAGCATCAGCACTATGTGCATATTCGGGCTTGGGCACAGGTTCAAAGTCATCGTCATCCCCTGAGACTGATGTAGCCTCAAACTTTGCAAGCAAGCTAGTGAAAGTTTGCGGTGCTTCAGACACCGAGCGCCTAGGGGGCCCAAGGTATGGGGAAGGACTCAAAGCTTCAACAGGAGATGATTCCTGATCGCCGGGAATAGCCTCCAAAATTGTACTGTTTGCTTTGTTCGAGGTGAAACAACTGTCATCAGTTAAGTTTCCGTCGGTGTCGTCCCCGGTGCTCATGGAATCGATACAATCCGACCTGATCGAAGAGGGTGATGGTGTCTCTCGCGGAGGTTCTAGGACAGTTGGTATCTTTTCTCTCCGATCTTTGGGTTGCCAGGCCTTTTTGCGCCGAGGTGCCATCGCATCTGTTGGGAGCTCAACGCTGAAAGCGCGTTTGAAAGGACATGGCGTGACCTCATACCGAAGCACTGTTGGCAACGCGGCCTTCAGATCCCGCACCAAACTCTGGTCGTCTTCCGTCTCGTATGGTATCTCGATGCGATAGTATGTAAGAGGGCGAATGCGTAAAACAAACTTTGACACCCCGTCAACACACCAACACTGCGAGTTTTTCAGGATCGCATGGACGACATTTCCACATTTCAGAAAGGCCGTTGAGCCATGAACCTTTTCCAGCCTTAGTGGTGCAGTGGCGACTGTCCTTTCAGTTGCAGAGCGCCAGGGGAGTGTTTCGATGGTGTCAACCGGGTAGTCGAAGTCCGATGGCGCAGAACTGGAGGGAATAGGGGCGAGCGCTCTTGGGGAGAAATGCACGATTTTCGCAGACGGGTGATAAAAAATTACATGTTCGGGGGTATTTGGCACACTCGAGCGACGTTGCGCGAGAGGATTTAATTTGGTGGGAAGGGTGAGGGAGCGGCGGAGGGATTGTATCTGACCTAGCTCACTTGGAGACTCGGGCATGATTCATGGATGCGATCAATAATGGATAAAGGAGAGCCTGTAAAGATATTAATGTACAGACATGTTTGTACAAGATGCTAATGCGAGAAGCCAGGGTATCCAATGCAAGAAACGCAGGAAACGGGGCTTATCTGCAGTGTTGCGCGGGGAGATGCACTGTTGCCTCAGGCCAATGACATCAGGTGACCATGACGCAGCTTTCAATGGAGACCAGGCATCCACAGTTATTTCGGTTTCACTCTCAAGAATGCATTATTGCTAGCTTCTTAACTATTTCGACAGTCCTGGTCTTCTACGCAGTGGTATTCCTCGGGATATTTTACAGCTTTGAAAGCCACAATGTCGAGCTTCGAGCCAAACGCCGTGATCCGCGGCTTCCAGCTCACAGTGGTAGGCAGTATGTCACTCTATACCCTTTGTTTATATTTCCCGACCATTCAGGGGGATTGGCTTGAAATGCCTAGAAATCCCTGGCTACACAAGAAATTCTATCAACGTCTCCAATGCTGTATAGCGTCGGAGTCGGCTTATGCCAAGACTTTGATCAAGGTGCTACTTGGACTGAATTTAGCCAGCCACATTTTGTCATTCGCCTTGGAATGATCGTCTGAATGGGAGATTTATTTTGGACCCTTGCTAACTGAAGCTTGTAGCTGTTCGTGCATTAGCGAATCCTGAATTATTCAAGTACGACCATTTCCGCCAAGCAGCTCTCGCAATAGCCATCGGCATCGTGATTCAGTTGATCATTCAAATTCCAGTATGTTTTTAAAGTGTCCTACGCTGATTAGGGTATTTCTGACTTCAATTCAAGATCCTCAGCGTGAAATTCTCAATCTACATTTTATCATGGGTGATCGACATGGAGCAAGCTGTTTGGGACGACAAGCTTCTCAATGGATTAGAATTTATGTCCAAGTCTGTCCTTCAGGTGCCATTTTTACTTATGACCCTGATGCGATATGTGACGCCTACGCTGGATGAAATGTACGTTCTTTTGACAACACACTCATTGACAGTGTAAGCTGACCATCTCCCTAGCTTCATGCAGTCCATTCAATGGGTGGACATGACATACGTTCAGAAACATAAAACCGAGGATCCTGATCACCTACGCTCTCTATACTACCCCAATCTTGTCCAGTACTCGGCCAAAGGTGGCTCCAGCGTTTCTCGCCCAATTCCCCAAGCACTGAAGTCATTCTTCAATCGCTATGCGAAGAAGATTGGTATGATGCTTGGTATATATCTTCTGTCGATGGTTGTAATCATCGGTCGGTTCGTTATGCCCGCAGCAAGTTTCTACACATTCCGAAGCCATGTCGGCTCCACCCCCGCGGCTGTCATTTTTGGCGTAGGCTTGATTCTGCCAAAGCACTACATTGTCACGTTTCTCCACACCTACTTTGCTTCGCGCAGTCTGATGCGCGAGCTTGTAAGTCTCCTTACCCTCCAACCCTTGAGAATTCTGTTAACAACGTCTAGCTCGAACCGTACTTCTGGCGCATCAAGTTCACCCCCGAGCAAAAACGCCGGTGGTTCCGCGACCGAGAAGGTGTTCTCTTTGGCTTTGCCTTCGCTTTCACGGTTCTTCTGCGGATCCCATACATTGGCGTGTTGATGTATGGCGTTGCTGAGGCATCTACGGCGTACCTTGTCACCAAGATTACCGACCCGCCTCCACCTCCTGCTGAAAGTGCAGACTTTGCGGAAAGCCAAGTTACCTGGAAGAACAAACATGATTTCTTGCGCTTATCTCTCGATAATCTTGACAAGCTCAATGTTGACACGGACGAGCACGATCAGAAGGACTCTGGCTCCCCGGGAAAGAAGTTTACTTGAGAGCCGTTAGTATTAAAATTTCCACAGCAAGGATTTTATTCACAAAGTAGATATGCACCATGCACATCAAGGCATTATTAGCATATAAGGCGACCGTTCCACAATTTTTCTGTTGCCTTCCTTTAGAAGGAGCTTAATTACAAAAATACATTTGATCTTCAACTCTTGGTATTCCCGTCGGGGTCCATAGGGCGCTAGCTTATCAACCGTTGATATGCGGGATAAAGCGATGATAAGCCGGATCTCCAACGACGTAACTGTTATTCATGGCCACATGTAAATGGACCGGGCATCTGCGGGGTAAGACTCTTATCGTGAGGGGGTCTAATTCAGAATATCTCGGTATATTTGGGGTTCCCAGCTTGACCTGAGCCCGAGGTTTATACTTTCGCCAGCCTATAGCTACTGCCTCAATCGCATTAACCACTAACAAACCTACCATAATTGCAAATATGGGTATCAAGGGAATTCGTACTGCTCTAAAGGTTGATCTCAACAAGCCTGCCTGGGAACAGCCTGGCTTACATGTATGTGCTTATGTTCTTTAAGTCGTGAAACATTGCTAAGTCCCCGATAGAACAGATGGCATCCAGACGGTATGTCAAGTCTTGATTATAGCAGTCTCATTGAAGACAGTTACTCTAATACAAACGCTTAACTCTCTAGTGCCGGCCCACGGAAAAATCGCCAACAATGAAGTTGTCAAGATCGAGTGTCTAGATTGGACTGGAGGCCAGATCGGAAATAATGACTCGGCCGACGATATCAAGAATGTAGACCTAACCCAAATCCATTACCTATCCGGTCCATTCGACATCGAAACCGCAGAGCCTGGCGATGTTTTGCTCGTTGAGATTCAGGATGTCCAGCCCTTTGAAGACCAACCATGGGGATTCACCGGAGTCTTCCACAAAGAGAATGGAGGAGGTTTCCTCGATCAACTGTATCCCGAAGCGTATGTTAACACTAATATGATGACATACATCGATGTTAACATTATCACAGGGCTAAGGCGATTTGGGACTTCGAGGGAATCTTCTGCTCATCTCGACACATCCCGCATGTTCGGTTTGCAGGGCTAATCCACCCTGGAATCCTGGGATGTGCTCCATCAGCCGAAGTGCTGGCTGAATGGAATCGACGAGAGGGAGAGCTTATTGCAACCAATACTGTTGCTGATCAAATTGTCGCTCAGCCACCGAATCCTCAGAATGCTCATGCAGGCAGTGCTACCGATGACGTGAAGAGCAAGATCGCTAACGAGGGTGCCCGAACCATCCCAGTGAGACATTACCATACACAACAAAACCGAACCATATACTCATATATCTACTAGGGCCGCCCCGAACATGGAGGTAACTGCGACATCAAGAACCTCTCCCGCGGATCGAAAATCTACCTCCCCGTCCACGTTCCCGGTGCCAAATTCTCCGTCGGAGACCTGCACTTCTCGCAAGGTGATGGCGAGATCTCATTCTGTGGAGCCATTGAAATGGCCGGTGTAATCACATTGAAGTTCACAGTTATCAAGGACGGCATGGCAAAACTAGCCATGAAGTCACCAATCTTCCATGCAGGCCCCGTAGAGCCACAGTTTGGCCCTGGGCGATACTTGACATTCGAGGGATTCTCTGTCGATGAGAATGGCAAGCAACATTTCATGGATGCGACAGTCGCCTATAGACAAACCTGTCTCCGGGTTATTGAGTACCTCCGGCGCTATGGCTATAGTGATTATCAGATATATTTGCTGCTCAGTTGCGCGCCGGTGCAGGGGCATATTGCCGGCATTGTCGATATTCCAAATGCTTGTACCACGCTTTCGGTGCCGATGGATATCTTTGATTTCGATATTCGGCCTGAAGCGGATGTGGTCAAAAAGGAGATGGGAGCTTGCGCTTTTGTGACAAAGTAGGATACTCGGCAACGGAAGGGGCAGGCAAGATGGGCATTTTGAAGTTTGCTTTGGTTGGATATTTCACTCTACCTCATTATATGTGATTTTTCTTTGATCAACAAGGTTGAAGCACCATGCAGTATATTTGAAACGTAGGCCAATGCTTGTAACCATACATAGCGTGTGGTCTGGACCCAGCCATGATCATACTACGATCTTCTAGAAAAATGTTCTATCAACAGTAGGTCATAATTGAAAGATGTAATTTGGTTGTACTTTTTGGAGGCAATGTTATCCCCGACTATTTGAGTAAATCTTGCACTTTAAGCCTGACATGCTATGTCACAGGAGTCTACCATATGGAAGCTTACGGTATGGACTTCGCACAAAGAACAAGGCACATTGCCTGAATGATGTGATATCATACATCATGGGTCATTGTTGAACGAGCAGACCACGTCGTGAATCGTGATGGGAACAAAAGGGAAATGAGAATGAGTCAGTTTCAGACCGCTCAAGAGAAGAACTTCTTGGCAGCGGCCTTGTCCTTGGCCTCCCGGTCCTTGACGGTCTTCTTGACCTTGGCGATCTCGTTGATGATACCAGCATCGCCAGGAGCCAGCTTCTCTGCCTCCTGCAGATCCTTCAGCGCGGCATCCTCCTCCTTCAGACCCTCGTAGGCAACAGCACGGCGGTAGTAGGCCTTGGCCTTATCGGCATCCTTAGCCTTGGCCTCATCGGCGACTTGAAGGGCATATGTGGCCCAGTTCTGAGCCTGGCTGAACTTCTGGAGCTTGTTGCCGAGCAGGGAAGAGTTAGAGTGCAAAGTGAATCGGAGTGCCTTCATCTGCTCGCTCAGCTCCTTGGGGTCATTCTCCTCGGGCTCGGGGAACTCGTTCAAATAGCGCAGACCCTTCTGGTACTTTTCGAGACCCAGGTTGAGATTACCACTCTTGAAAGCAGCGTTGCCGAAACCCTTGAGGTCGGAAGCGATCTTGAAGCAGAGAGGTGCAGTAAGGGCCTCGCCCTGGTGATCCTCGGTGAAGTCCTCGTATGGGTCGCCTGTCGCATCCTGCTGGCGCTTGGTCGCGTTCTCGTAATCCTCGCCGGTAAGCTCGCCGCAGTCCACGATAGTCACGTCCTGGAAGGGCTTGTCGGACTGAGTCTTCAAGTTCTCAATCTTGCGAATCACACTCTTGCCGTTGATGACCTCACCGAACACGACGTGCTTGCCATCGAGGTGGGGAGTGGGGACGGTGGTAACGAAGAATTGACTGCCGTTGGTGCCGGGCCCAGAGTTGGCCATGGAGAGCAGGAAGGGACGGTCATGCTTGAGGTCGAAGTTCTCATCGGGGAACTTTTCACCGTAAATCGACTCGCCGCCGGTACCGTTGAACGCAGTGAAGTCACCACCCTGAATCATGAACTGCTTGATCACACGGTGGAAAATTGAGCCTGAATGGGGACACTGCGGTTAGTGGGCGTCAACGCCATGGGGAGCGGGGTATTGCAGACATGCCTTTGTAGGTCAATTCCTTGCCCTGGGTGCCAATGCCCTTCTCGCCGGTACACAAAGCTCGGAAGTTATCCGCGGTCTTGGGGACAACTGTTGCTGTTATTAGTCATGTGCAAATTGTCAAGGGAGAAAATCATGTCGTACCATCGTTGAACTGTGTGACGCCCAGACGTTAGATGCAATCCAGACTCGGCATGTAGAGGATGCGGGTAACTTACCAGCTCAAATGCAACCCGATTAGGCTCGCTGTCACCGATTTTAATGTCAAAGAAGACACGGGAGCCTGCAAGCTTGTCAGCAACTGGACTCAATCCTTGCATTCCGCGGGTAGATGAACCCCGCACTGAACGTACGCTGAGCTGTCGCCATGACTGTGGAGTTGAGAGAGAGAAATTTCAAAAGTGGATAAGAATAGAGGAGAGAAACAAAGTTGATATGGTAGAGAGGTGGAGGAGAGAGAAGTCAGCGTTGTGGGGGAGTCCGGCGCTTGCGGTTCAGGAAGCTTCCATTGCGGGCACCCCAACTATGCTCGGACCACGGGATTTGTATAGAAGTTGTATATTGGGGGTATCTGCTAACATCTATTTACCTAGGTAGGTACAAAGCATAACTCTATCTTTATTTCTCTTTTTTGTTTCCCTCTTTTCTTTCATTGCAGCAATTCAGGTGGAATTTGGAATTCAAAAGATCCCTTGATTTCCTGTTCATCAGACTCTTTGTCTCCATTTTTCTGCTCCTTGGGTTCCTTTTTGGGGAGATTGGTATTGATTTCGATTGTAACCTAGAATGAGATCAGTCAGTATAGATTCAATGGCTGCGAGGAAAAGAGCTAGGAAGTTAAAATGTACCGCCGCGTCCTCGCTGCGGTAGTCTACACCCACCGGCCCGTCGTTCTTAAGTTCGACCTCCATCATGGCTTGGAAGACACCATTCTTGACCCGGTCTGGAGTATAGCCTTCCCGCATCTTATCATAGAAGAAGTCATAGATTTTGCGTGCTGGTTCGGGACCAGCAGCATCATGAAAGTCGGGTTTGTTTCCTTTCTTCATTTTTGCGTAAAGGGTGAATTGGGAGACTAGATCAGACAACGATTAGTATTGCTCAGCAATGTTCCAGGTAGATGGTAAGATAAAGAAGCATACCACATAGTACTTCCCCCTCAATATCCTTAACATTCTTTTTCCACTGTGATAATGTCAGTTGCTGGTCTCAGACATGATAGTTATTTGACTTACTTGTACTCCGTTCTCATCGGGCCAGAACTTGGCCTTTAACACCTTGTTCACGAGGTTCTCGGCATCCTTCTCAGTATCGTCTTTGCCAACGCCAGCAAATACAAGAAGACCCTTGCCAATAGAGGAAATCAACTCCGAATCGACTGTCACAGATGCCGATTTGACTCTTTGGATAACGACTGAACGGTATTAGTTGATTTTGGTATATCACGCAGGTCTATAGTTTCTCACGTTTCATTTTGGTGGCCTATAGGTCCTTGATTCTCGTCAAAATAAGAAACAGCTGGGTGAAGCTTCCAAGGTTGGGTACGTACCCGCGGCGTAGACAAGATAAGGCCGGTGATAGCGCTGGCACAAAATATTGCCTGCTGCTGCCCAAATGAGCTCGTTTAACTCGGGTTTTCAGCGCGAGTGTATTCTTCGGCGGCAATTGTGTACTTTTGAGCTGAGAAATCTAAATGCGACGTGTGACTTTTCTGTGTAAGGCCACGATCCCCCTCGCGCCGCCCTCACGTTCGCCTCCGCCCGTGACCGCCTACCTATTAGAGCATCCACGAAGCTTTCCACTCAAACGCGGAGAGGCATTCCATGGACTTCCGAGTCTCTATCCCTCTTGCTGGCAAACAAGTACTTTTACCCACAATCTCTCCTTCATAAACTCCGTCGATTGTGTCCTTGTGACCATTTTGGTCGAAAGCGCATCACCTCACCGTTCCGACAGCATTAATCCCCACGCCAGTGGACGGCACAGTCCACCAACGGGTTCACAATGGCAGCCCGAAAAACGCAACAGGAAATTGAGAAAACCTTCAAGAAGGTCTCCGAAGGGATACAGACGTTCGAAGGCATTTATGAGAAGATCCGACAGGCTACAAATCCCACGCAACGGGACAAGCTCGAAGACCACCTTAAGCGCGAGATCAAGAAGCTGCAAAGGTTCCGTGATCAAATCAAATCATGGGCCGCTGGAAATGAAGTCAAGGATAAAGCTCCTCTCATAGAGCAGCGGAAGGCCATTGAAGTGGTGCGTTTGGGTTTCCTAACTTGGTCCCACCATAGGGCCAATGCTCCCTCCAAGGGACTGCAAGCTAACACAGTCGATAGTGCATGGAACAATTCAAAGCCGTCGAAAAAGAAATGAAGACGAAAGCGTATTCGAAGGAAGGTCTATCGGCAGCTTCGCGACTTGACCCGAAGGAGAAGGAGAGAGTCGAGTGTTGCGAGTTTCTCTCTAATATGGTTGACGAGCTTCAGCTGAAGATCGAGGCCCTGGAGGCAGAGGAGGAAACACTTCATGCGCAAATGAAGAAAGGGAAGAAGGACACGAAGAAGGCGGATCGAATGGCCGACATCTCCCACGTTACAGAACGACATAAATGGCACGTAAACAAGTTGGAATTCCTCAATCGTTCATTACAGAACGGCAACTTGGACGTTGGTGCGGTACAAGATCTCAAGGAAAGTATCAAATATTACGTCGAAGAAGGAGGTAGTCCTGACTACTCCGGCGAAGATGAGACCCTCTACGATGATCTAAATATCGGCGAAGAGGTCGAGGCACAATTCGGCATGGGCGGCGAAGGTGATCGTGTATCATCACAAGATGCCCAATCAATCCAAGACGAAGAGCCAGAACCCAAACCAAAGGTCAAGCAAGAAGCGCCAGCAGCCCGAAGACCATCAACACAGATGAAATCGCCGCTGCCTGTTCTTGCTACCCTCCATCCATCTGCTTCATCGAGTGCCACTCCGGGCATGAAGCCCGCTCCTCTTCCTACCCGTCCCCCTGGTGAAACCCTCAAGTATGCCTCCGCCGCTGCCGCTGCTGCAGCAAGTGACAAAAGTGGTGTTGGCATTCTCCCTCTTCCCCCTCCACCAGGGTTCAGCCCGGCTTTGTCCGTGGCATTGCCTATCTCCAAATCTTCTACTGCTTCGCCTAGTGTGGCGTCTGCACAGCCTGTTTCAAAGTCAATAGTCCCACCTACTGTAGCAGCTGTTACAGAAGAGCTTGCTGGGCCCGTGCGACCGAAGATCCCTGCAAATGCAAATGCCTCATCGCCAGCGCCCGCAAAAGTGGAGACATCAACGAATGGCAAACCCGAGACAGAAGGAACTGAAACTGATGAATCGGTATATCATCTGCCCCCTGGTCTCCAGGACCTGCTCCAATCATTCGAGGTAACGAAGTCGCGTGCGTCGGCTAACCCATCGCCCTCTGTTCAACGTCTTCTCGCTACCTCATTGACGACATGCCCCGAGGCTGGAGATGCTGAAAAGCCACGTCACTACAAACCGCAGAACCCCTACAGCACTGCTCTCTACTATCCCCAGGAACCTCTCTCCATATTTGATGACCCTCGCTTGTACGAAACAGGGAGAATTGACACGGATACTCTCTTCTACCTTTTCTACTACCGTCAAGGGACGTATCAGCAATACCTCGCCGCCAAGGCGCTCCGAAACCAGAGTTGGCGCTTCCATAAGCAGTATCAAACCTGGTTCCAGCGTCACGAGGAGCCCAAGAACATCACCGAGGAGTTCGAACAAGGCACATATCGCTTCTTCGACTACGAAAGCACATGGTCAGTTAAAGCTTCCGATTGATTCCGTTCCCGTACCAACTTTACGAGCTCCCTCACTTACGAATGGCATCAACAGGATGAACCGGCGCAAGGCTGATTTCAAATTTGTGTACAAATACCTCGAGGATGAGTTATGAGGCGCCTTTGTTCTTTTTCTCCCCGTGAGCAACCCACCCGGGGTCTCCAAGTGCAGATGATTGATTTTTTTCACCCTGGATTCTGTTCACAATGTCTGTGGCTCGACGATATGATTCGATAGACTGGATGTTTGAGGCTATGGCGGGAACTTTGATATCTGTGGGGTCACGGTGGGCTGTCTTATCTTCTTTTACTGTTTTCGCAGGACTGGCATCAATGAGTGCAATGAATGGGCCTGGGTGATACGGGAGTTTCGTGTTATTTGCAAGGTTATCAATTGTTCGAACGATACAATGAATCCTTAAGTCAAGCATATTGTTGACTATATACATAATACGAGGTAGCCAAGTGGCTAAGCAGCCAAGCAGCCCAAGTAAAGTTCATTGCATGCTTCTGCCCCAGTCTGCCTTGCAGGTACCTGGGCTAGGCCTTGGGATGAAGTACAACTAGAAAAGTACCCAATGTAGTACATACTATAGGTACAAGCACCAAGCTGGACCTCGGGTCTGGGGTTGTCGGTATTTCCTCGTGTACACGTAGCTTTGCAGGTCTACCGTTGTCTCTATTGGGACAATGCAGGAGAGATGCAAGAAAATACGGGAAAATATGAGAAGAAAAAGAATAATAATAATAGTAATAATAGTAATAGGCATAAGAAGCAGGAAACCAGGGAAAGGGACACGGGGGCGGCACGGCTGCACTTTCACCTCATAACCACCAAGGTTGCCCAGGACCGGAAGCGATCCCAAATATCCCCGAATGAATCAATAAATTAAAAAAAAGAATAAAAAAAAGCACCAGCATATGACGGATCGCTTCACTTCTGTACAACCAACGGCGTGCGACGTCAGAGAACGCTAAGTCGCCAGCAAGCATTACGGGCTACACCTGCATCCCACTCGCTCTTTCAGACCCTTGGCAGACGCTAGCATGCAATGCATTTTTGAAGTGCGGGATTTTTCTTTCTAGAAGCCCGGGGATTAACGAACGCTAGTCGCTAGTCGCTACCTCGTCAGGGGCTGTGCGCGACCGCGACATCATCGGTCGATCTGCGATACGGGATTGGACGGGTTTGGGAATTGTGGGAATAGGCCTTGGCCAGGTTCTCCATGGAGATGGACATGTTCGGGAGCGCAAGGCTGGATCGCGGATCATTTCTGATAATATAACCGGCACGATTGTGCCGTGGGATATATCAATACATACGTCAATGGGTGGGTTTTTGGGGGGAATTCCCGGAATGATGTGCATCGTGAACTCGGACTCGCAGTTGAACTTGGACTTGAACTTATTCTTGGCCTTGATTTGGACTTTAGTTTGGACTTTCTTGAACTTCATGGTCTTATGAAAGCTTCGATGACCCCTGACAATGGAGCAGAAATTCCAGATCTCTCACGAAATGGCCAACGTACAAATGTACAACCCCTATGACGAACAACAAAAAGACCCGGGGGCCATGGCCGTCAGACACGAGCTCTTGGCAAGACGCTAGAAAGACACTAGAAGACACAGAGAATGGTCAACGTCCAATCATAAGAGGATCACCGTGAGGGGAAGTCACTGGGCACCCAAATGTCTGACCGCTGCTTATCAGCAAACCTCAACTCACCTCGACACACCTGATCATCCTCCAATCATCATCGTTCAAACTATCCAGGATGTGAAATGAGGGCTATGAGAGGGGCACGCTAGAAGGACCGTGGAATATTCGGCGTCAGCAACGATCCGCAGACAACATACAAAATCAAATTCCCGCATGCGAGGAGGCGGGGAGGCTGAGTGGTTTTATCCAGTCTGCTTCGAGTAGTTTTCTAGAAAACTGTTTAGTGCCATTTACTGTCCCTTTCACAGCCATTCACAGTTTAGTCCTGTTGTTGCTGTCCCGTGTCGACCAATACCCTACTCAAGCCCCCGGTCATGCTCCATATGATGGAGTTTCACGTTGGGCACATAAAAGGGCTCATGTCTCCATTGCTTAGGGGAATTATTTTGCACTTGAATCTTAAAATACTTGGCCCAAATCAATTTTAAGATTTCAATAATTAGTTAAACCTGCTCTTTCACAATGGTAAGTCGCTTTAGCTTGCAATGGGCGCATTCTAGACTAACCCCTCTCTCTCTTTCTATAAGACCGCCATCCCAATTCCCCTACCACACCAACGCTCACTCTCATCCGCCCCAATCGACATGCAGTCCCCATTCAACTACACAGACTCATACTCTTCCTACTCCTCCTCACCAGGAAGCATGGACTTCTTCTTCTATGGCGGCCAGCCTGTCTACGATACCCTCTGCGACATCGACGCAACCAGTCCCTTCCCTATGCAAGAGGTCACCCCAGAGCTCTATGGCATAACCAGCTCGCCCTACACCTACCAAAGACCGCACGACTACCCAGTCTTTGACCGACCTGCCATGCCTCAGAGCGCACCCAGCAGCTGTGGTAGCAGCTACAGCGGTAGCTACAGCAGCAGCTTCAACTTCCCCTCCGAAGACATTGCTCTACCAAGCTACCCCATCAGCGAATATGAATCCAGTGCCGACTCGCCAGCGCCGCAAGCATCCAAGTAAGCTAACTACCTCCACCGTCGCAATTGAATCACCTCACTAACATATCTCCTCAGGCCTGCTAAGCCCTTCGGCTGCGACCACTGCGGAAAGTCCTTCACCCGCTTCGCAGACTTGAAACGCCACCAGTCCAGTGTCCACTACCCCGTGTTCCGCAATTGCCCTGTTGAGCACTGCTCACGAAAGGGTAGCAATGGCTTCCCGCGCCAGGACCACCTCGTCGAGCACCTACGGTCATACCACCACCTGGACGTGCCCAAGCGCGGATCCTGCAAGCGCTCCGCGAAGCAGATCTCATGATTGTAATGATCTTTTTCGTCTTGCGCTGATGTTCGCGACATTTTCCCGGGCATTTTTACGATACTACGACAGTTTTTTTTTCCCCGTTTCTGATGCTCTATTTCTATTTTTACATTTGTTTGTTTCATCGATTGATCGCCTTCCCGTTATGGGTCGATCCTGTATGTTGTATAGAAGACGCGGATCGCATCTTCGCATTAGTTTGTTTCAGTTTTTCGAGCTCAGAGCTCATTACTTCTTATGTGTTCTAGATTCTAGATCGGGCTTAGATGGATTATTGGTGGAATGTTTCAATGAATCGCAACGATTACGATAATAGCATTTTCCTCAATTGGCTTAGACGATTTTTTCCTATTGTCAAGTACTATGCATTTATGCATGCTGAAATTACCAGGTCTTTACAAACCGGAAAATCAATGGACCGTCATGATAACGGTACCATACAAAAATACATACATTGCTTAATCAGCTATGTCCGCCGAGATTGGAAAAGAGCGGATCTTGTCATTTTAGTTAGTTAGAGAATTTACATATGTCAGATTTACCATACATTGTCGTATCCGTCTATTTCTGTCAGTTATGAGCCCGGCTTCGTTCCAATTAAGATCTGTCTACAACATATAGACCATCTTTTACCTAGCTGTCGCCGATTCACAGTGGTTTTGACAACGGTCAACCCCTGAATCGTCGAAGCACCCCTATCTCCTTCGAAGAAGATCAGATTCATCGACGAAAATCGACAATAATGAATATCATGTCAAGCCTCTCCGCGGCCTCCTCCCGCGTCATTTTGAAGGATACAGAATCATGGGATGCATGGCTCTCATATATTAAAGCAATTGCAGTTGCATATAAAGTATGGGATCAATGCAATCCGTCTCTTAAGGAGGAAGAACGTCCTAAATTGGAACCACCTGAAGAGATCATCTCTGTCAAAGATGCCATAAAAGAATACCCAGAACACTGGTTCAATGTGAGGCTATCCCTAAAAGCAGATTGGGATGCAGAGAACAGAGCCTATCAGTCGAAACTACAGGCATTAGATCTAGTGGCGGTGGCAATTAGGCAGTCAGTTGATACTCCCTACCAGCCCTTTATTATTGATATACTATCACCTTTGGAGCTGATGCTCAATCTCCACAAACGATTTGCACCAGAGAGCGATCCTACATACAAAACTAAGCTCCGTCAACAGTGGCGGAACCTAGATAGAGGCCTAGATCGGAACACCGACATCGAGAAATGGCTTCTAAACTGGGAATCGCTTTACCAATCGTGTAAGAAGGCAAGGATGCCAGAAGTAGAGGATGCCACGAATCAATTCCTTGAAGCAATCTCTATAATGTCGCCTGGATTCTATGAAACATGGGCTCTCAGAGTACAGGATAATCAGGATATCCCTTTCTTCGAAATCATGACTCGGTATAAAGCCCACTGGAAGATTACCTATGGCAGGCCGGCTGCGCAAAGAGGCATCTCAAAGGCTGCTTTCTCGACATAGCAAGGCAATAAAGAAGCAAAGCCTATAGAGGCAAGGAATGATGGCCTAGAAAGAAGGCCATATCCATGTGGCAGGGTAAAATCGAGAGTTCATATGCCTTAGGCCTGCTAGGAAATCTATGAAGATAGAAGGCCTGCTAATTACCAGCCCTCACCGGCATTGAAACAGAAGTGGGAGAAGGCCATGAAGGCTAATCCTAGATGGAAGGCAATTATCGACAAGAAGCGAGCTGCATATGCAGAAGGCTAAGGGGGGACCCTTGCTAAAGAGCAAGCGAATACAACCCTCGACGATAAAGCCTTTGGCTTCTTGACAACCAACGCAGTCAAAATTGACACCGTTATGTCAACAAAAATCAAGGATTTTGAAGCCACAACTACACCTACAGAAGACAGATGGGTAGTTGATATAGGTACTCAAATCCACGTATACAACAATCGGAGCTTGTTTAGCACCTTTAAAAACGTACAGAGCAACGTCAAAGTGGGAGATACAGAGACGAAGGTGGCCGGTATAGGCACTGTAGTCATCTATGGTGTAAACCCTACCACTGGAAGCGCCGTTAAGATGAACCTATTTCAAACTAGGTACTCGCCAAACTTCTATAGTAATCTGATATCTCATAGATTGATGATGAAGGGGGGCCTATTAATGAATCTCAGAGCAAACTGTATTGAGACAATTGATGGCCATCGTCAGATCTATAAGATCTACCACGATCAGAAGCTATTATGGCTTACCCAGACAAGGGGTTTTATAACCCAAAAGGCATCAGATTTGAAGCCTGAAATGACGTTTGCCACTAAGAAATCCAATTAGGAGCTAAAATCTGAGGCTTCAATTGAGCTCTGGCATCGTCGATTAGGCTATATTAGCAAGGCGCGAATTGTCAAACTGGCAGAGATGACTGAAGGAATCACTATTGCAAGCAACCTAGGCAAAGAAATGCAGGTATGTGAAGCTTATCAATTGGCAGATGCACCTAGGCAAATCTCTCGCCGGAAGATAGGCCAGGCATATAGTATATTAGGGAGAGTACACTTTGATCTAGTACAAAACCAGCCTGCCTACAACGGTCATATATAGATAACGCACTTCTATCTCGATAGAATAAGGTGTCACTTCGTATTTACCTATATAAAGAAGAGCGAGTATCAGATGGCAGTTCGTAAATTCTTAGCATTGATCCGAAACTGGTTGAAAATCGAGATCAGGGTATTTTATTATGATAATGAGAGAAGCGCCGGTAATGAGGTTGAATCTATGATTGAAGACGAAGGGTGTACCATTGAGCATACACCACCTGGCTTGCCAGAGATGAATAGACCAGCAGAGAGATCTGGAGGCATGATAGTAAGGAACGGCAGAGTATTACTCAATGGTACGAACCTACCCCACAATCTATAGCCAGAGACGATGTATACATCTACATATATGATGAATCGTACCCCTACAAAGATGGATGGCAAGTGGATTATACTATAGAAGGAATTGATGCGCTATACGGCTCCAGATGGCTTAAAAGATCAAATTGTCAACCTGTCGAATATAAGGCTATATAGGTGCTTAACGTACTCAAGGCTTCTGAAGAGAGTATAATCTAACAAGATGGCTCCGAGAGCAGAGATCGGCTATCTTGTAGGCTATGTTTCAAAGAGCCTATATAAGATCTGGTTTCTATACAAAGGGCGAGCAGGCATAGGCAGAGTTGAAGTTGTAAGAGATGCTATATTCGATAAATCGAGACAGTACTCTAAAACGAAGCCTTTACCGCAAGAAGAAGATGCAATTAGTACTATGACAAATGGACTAAGCGCTAAGAACTGGCCCTAAGTGCTCTCAATGGAAGAAGCGCAGTCAGAATTGAGCATAGAGATGCGTATGCCGATGTCAATTGCTCGTATAACTCTCAATGATGACGTCGAAAACCGAGAACAAGGTACTGCACCAGAGGCGGTAAATAAAGAAA